TTAGCTTATTAATTTTTAACATCTTAAATTTTACGTATAATAACATAATGTTATACTTAGTTCATTTTTACATTTTATTATTATTAAACCGATTATCTGTTTACGTTTAGACGTACGAACATCGAACTATACTACTAGCGTGTAGAACATACATCCCGAAGCAAAAGTTTGTTTCATTTCGGTAAGAGTTAGAACTAAAGTTCGCTGCAGCGCTAAAATAATAGTTACGTCATCTAAGCGAACTATTAAAACATGCAGCGCTAGTTTGCATTAGGGATTAGTTATCTGGCGACCAAAACGTCATAAGCACCAGGGATTTCATGACGCTTACGCGTATCGTTTAACGTAGTGTACAACAAGTCGCTCCCATATACTTTACATTAGCCCGATTCTCGTGAGCATTGTAACAACGCGAAAAATTTTAAATCAAAGAATTTTAAACATTTTAATGTCTACTTACCGTTGAAATGTTAAACCATAACTTTTTTATGTTCTGGAGTGTTTACTTTAGTCTTTAAGAACACTACAAAAACATTTTGAATTTGTTATTTATGCGAAGTGAACACGACTCGTCTATGCGGGCGTTGGACACTCAGTAAACAGTTGCGGTACAGTGTACCGCAAAGCGTGGCGCAAAATCATGCAAGGCGTTGTCTTTTCTATACGTAGTAGTAATACCTCAATGCGTACGACGTGGTAATTTATATAGAGGTAATAATCGTAACTTTTGATTTAGTAATTATCTAAGAGCTTGAAGATTTTCGAGTTTTATTGGCCCCGGGGAGACTACAGTAGTTTGGAAAATATACCCCTTTCAATTTATGTTTCAGTTTAAAACCGTGAACAGTCTATTCGTCTTTAACGAATCGTTATTATGGACGTCTCGTTAAAACACTGATGCATGTGTGAATGGGCCGTAAGTCGAATCACGAATTAACATCATTATATGACCTTTTCATATTCTTAATATTTATAATACTATCTAAATCGCAAGATTAGAGTGAACTTTAAAATAAAAAATAACTTTCTGTAGCGTAGATGTTGCTTGAGGTTGTGTGGTTGACTGAAATTTACCCATTCAATTAAAACGTGAATAAAATTAAAAATTAGCAGTACAAGTATGGGTTTAGCGAACAACGTCATGATATAAAACACTATTAAAAATAATAGACATTTTGGAAAATCACATATACCTAGTTATAAAAATAAAAAAGTGTATTTGTGCCCTTACACTGTCTTTTTTCAAACTTCCATGTAACGAAAACCCACGAAATAACACTCGGTCCCATGAGTTTTATTATAGTTTACACTGTATATCCATTGGCATGCAGCAGATGATGAAATAATTTTGAATATCAGCACTCCATTAACAACTTGACGTGGACGTGGAGAAAGAACGAAAGAAGGAAAAATAGAGAAAGGAGGAGAAAGAGAGTAATAAGAAGCGTTTGGAATTGTGATTACCATGAAATAATGAAATTGTGGTTACGATAAAATTCTGCCAAATAATGAACTTAAAAAGAATTTGATTTACTTTTATAAGCTTTTATATAAAGGTCGATGATTTACAATAATGCATAGTTGTGCTAAATTCATTTATAACAAACAGAGTGTACATTGCTATGATAGAAATTAAGTTATGTTCCTAACTTAATATTTCGTGTTATTAAAAAAGGCGGAAAATATATTACGTCATACATAAAATCCTTTAAATACTGTCCGAGTTTTGTGAATTTAATCATCCGTCTTATTACAAAAAGTAGATTATATTTAGTATCAAGTTTTAACGAGTCTGTACTTAATAAAGAAGTCCCGTGGAAAAGCGAACTAAAATGCACCATATAAAAATACAAAAAAATACGTACATACTTATAATAGGGTTTGTAAAAAGTAAACGAGAATATTGATTTATATTTATAAAAATGCAATATAAATTTTATAACTCAATTTTAAGAATATTTTTAACATGTTTAAAACGCTATCTGCCATATTAGAAACTGCCGTGACGTCACATCTAAAGTAAACAAGCTAAGATGTCAATACCTATCACCTCATGATGTATTGTTTTGTATAATAATCAAGTCCTCCAGACCGAATTTCAGGCACGGCGGCCAGCCTTAACGGAGGCTAGCCATCGGCGCAGGACAGGATTATAATGCACAAGTGTATGCGCAAGCACAGATAAACTCTATTTCCTCACTCTCATAATCCGATGGGACGGTAAACTGACACGACCGGAGAGAGATAAGGTGCAGGACCAACGGCTTTATGTGCTTTCCGAGGCACGGGGGTGAGACACCGCCAACTTCCAGACTCCGGACAGCTACTGAGAATTTCTTGACAGAAACACTCAATAATGTATTTTTTTGGCCCGATCCGGGATTCGAACCCAGGACCTCATGATCAGCAGTCGCACTACTACAACCGCTAGACCAACGAGGCAGTCAAAATGAATAAAAAATATAAGAAAAAATATAAAGTGTTTTCTATAAAATGTAGTTAAATGTAAGTCATACTTACATGAAAGTGATCTTCGCAGAAGTATAGTCCAGTTTTTGTAGACAATGTGTTCGGGTATTTTCTTGCCAGTTAAAGGTCGCTGCATACGTACCGGGTTTTATTCCGGACGGGGCGGGACGTGAAAGTTTATAAATATCGTTTCATGGAAAATGTACGTGATAATGCATACGTTACGGATGCACGGACGGGACGGGGACGTGGCATGAACGGGACGGGAAAAATATCGTCGGCGACGATGTTTACCCCGTCCCGCCCGGCGCGTGTCATATCCCGTCCGTGGTTCCGCTGCGTATGCACAGTCGCTTCGTCAGCTACACTGTGATGTGCGTGTCGTACCGAGCAAAATGGACGACGAATAACTAATTTAATGTGTATGATCATGTCCATGTTTGTATAATCTTGCTCAACATATTGGACACAAAATATTAAAAAAAAATTAGTTAGTATAAATTTTATTTTACATTAATGTTGTCATACAAAAATACATATGAAATTGAGTCTTGTCATCCAAATGTTTTTTGTAGAGAGTGTGGTATGAGTACCACGGTGTGGTATGATTAGTCTAGTCCTATTTCCTGCCACGTATGATGTACAGAAAGTCTCCTTTTACTGTTGACTGTTGTAGCTCTTTATCATCTGAAGCAATAGCAATTATGCCAATTCTTCAAATGAAAAATACATCTTTCACAACACTAGCACATTATTTTCGAGTCACTGTCACGGTGCGTAAGCATTAAATTCCCGTCCGTGTTGACATACAACCACGTTCCGTCTCCGTGTCGTGCACGTGCTGATTCCGTCCTGTATGCAGCGACCTTTAACCACGTATTTCTCATATTTAAATCAGTTGGCACTTGAATCCATAACTTCCCGGGCGTTCTTATGCTCGTATTTTTGCATTCAGGTACTTACACATCAATTATAAATATGATAACTCATTATTAAACATCCAAAAATATGTTACTACTTTGCAAAATAGTTTTATTTATTATCGCGGTGACGTCACGGACTGAACAGCATGGCGGCTAGCGTTTTCCCGCGATAATTTAAATAGATTAAAAGTAATTTTTATACTATTCGGTTTTAAAAAAATACTTAAAATTATAGTGGTTAATCATCACTCAAAGATTCATTTTAAACACTATTTGAAAGTGGGTACTATACCTTATTCCGCAAAGACTTGAGACGTTTCTAAGGGCAGGTTCCTTTTTCTTAACAAAGATTTCTCTTTAAATTCGAGACTATTAACAAACCACGTTTTATAATAAGGCCGTTTTTTTATAATTTGATAATATATTAAATATCATAGACAGTTTAATAACAATTTCATTACTTTTCTAGTGACCAAATATTGTGTCCTCTAAGGAATAAATGTTGGCTAAAACAATAGAAAAATATTGTTTTAGCAAAATATCACCTAGTAATGCCAAATAGCTACAGTGTGTTGGCACATTTTAAACAAGTTTAAGACTGGCGAATACGCAGTTAAAATGATTGTAATAATTTTGGTAAAAATTAGTAGAAAGTATTTGTGACTGGTAACACAGTCAAACAAACTCCGTAAATTTGTCATATTTAATGTAGATAGATTAGCTATAGCTGCATAAATATTAATTAATATATGAACGTCGAACATCTAATCTTGAGTATACATTGAGCGGATTTCTATAATACGACATACAAATACCAAGTATAGATAATATGGTCTGATTTAATTAAATATTACACTGAGAGTTATAACATATTTTCATACATATTTGATTTCTTTTAACATTACACTCAGCTTCACCACAGCACCCTCTCCCCAGTGTCTATTATTAAATACGTTTATAGATATAAACCGCTAGATGCAGGTACCAAGTAGGTTGGTTAGCGCACATATAAGGTAGAGAAAGATGTCATTAAGCCCGTATCATACCCTGAACACACTGTTGGGCCCTAGGCTTATTTCAATCTTATCAAGAATTTTTATCACATAGCAAAGTAAATAATTTAGTTACATTTATTATAGAATAAAGACGACAAACGAGCACCTACTCGATTAATAATCAAAATGTAGATGCCTTGTCACCCCTGAAGACCAAGATAGAATGGCTCGTTACCAGCAAAAGGGTCTCCGATTCTCTACACTCACCATACGAAACAGCAGCATAAAGCTGTTATTTTACGCTGGTGTTCTGTGAGAGCGTGGTCCTTCCCCGGTCAAGCTGACCCATTCGTGCTGTAACCATAATATAGCTGCAGCATGGCTCTACCACGTTAAAACCTATCACGTATAATGTCAAATGACACATCAATAGAGTTGAATAAATTCATACACGTCTTAATATTACTGGTATAGAATTACATCCATAAATTCCGGGGTAATTTTGACATACAATTGGATACATTTATAGAGATACATATCTATGAAGTTGGCTCTACTTATAGACGCTGAAGTGTTCTTAGTGTACTAATTGACAAAAGTTACTTGTAAGAATTCAGCTTGCCGTTGATGCGTATCGGGATAAGTCCGGGAGCACCATCCCGATTGCCTGGAAGAATTGAGCGAGCTAATTGTTAGCGTGTTAACAATACTGTCCGTTTATAAGGAACATACAGGATTGGGTAGGATAGATTAGGATAAATAGGTTTTATAAGGATAAGGAAGTTTTTTTATTTTATATAAGTTCAATATATAATATATATATGCATAATTCAAACAAAATACACTGGGGACTAAGATGGAATTACTCACAACCCGTAATTATACTGGGTCTCTATACCCTTCAGACATGAAGTGCAAACACTTCCGTATTACTTTCTAAGACGGACTTTTAGTCAGAATAGGAGTCTTACCCAAAAATTAATGATACCATTTATAAATAACAAGAAAACAACCTGTACATACAGTCCGTACCACGGAGTGTAGAGGTTAGGAGAACCATATTTGTACTAAAAAGTGTCCTTAGCAAAGCGTATAACCCTATTTAGATAAGGGTGACGCCACTGTAACTAGAGGGTAAATTTTGCACAAACATTCACCATAATTCTTTTTTATAATAATTATTTTATTTTTTCCAAAATTTTTATTTTCTAAATCACTCTCAACGTGTTTCACGGCGACTTTTTCTATGTTATATTTACTAAATTATATTAGACAACGTGAGTAGTTGAGGTTTTTAAATACTGCAGTTTCATCAACTACTCTAGTCACCACAAATATTAAATTCCTCAACTCAGCACACTTCACTTCGTCGACAATTGCTAAGTTCATTTCATATCCTCTAGCTACTGGCGCTATTTTGGAGAGTTTTTAAACTGTTATTTACAGCTTACAGATGGACATTTTTTCAACTATGCTCCTATGTGAGATGGTTCTCCTTACCTCTACACTCCATGGTCCGTATGGATAAATAATGGGATTAGAAATGGCGACTCATCGAGCCCGTACCGTTAACACGCAAAGTACAAACAACGAAAACCCTCTGATAACGGTATATCGTTATAACCTTATATTATTCTCGCTTAATTCGGAATTTTCTATTTATGGGAAAAATATTTGAAAGGAATTGTATGTTATGTGGACATTCATTTTATAATAACATTTATAAGTAGCGATCCTCTCTGACTTCGCCTGGGTGGGATCTATTAATAGGGCGTTATTTAGACTTAAGATAATCATTAAAAACCATATATTTATCAATATTTCTATTTTATTAAATCTCTAAATTATCGGATAAAGTTTAGTCTAGATCACTAATGGTATTACTCTTTGTTTGTTCGTGAATTTTTATCGGTTCAGTCATTCTGAAGATTAGCTCGGACAGACAAACACACAGTTGTAGATCACAAACTAGCCATACCGGACTAAATTTTTTTGTAGTTTTATGTCACTAAGTTATCACTGATTCCAATAACAAATTGAACTGAAGTTAAAGAACATACGAAAAACTCATATCGCAACGTATTTTTTTGCAGTCATTACCGGCAGATGTAAGTGTAGATAGCGACAGTATGCGAGCGAGAGGGAAAAGCATTTTCAATCCCATTTTTTAACCGCGGGGTAGTACTTATTTTTTATTATAAAGTATAAAGAGTATTTTTAAATGTTACCACTAAATAATTGCTGACATGTTGATTATATGAGCATTGAATTTTATATTTTTTTATATAGAATAAGGATGACAAACGAGCATACAGTCCAGCTGATGGTAAGTGGTTACTGTGGACCATAGACATATACATCTATCCTCGATTACGAATAAAAATGCAGAAGAGTTGTCAGCCGTGAGTACTAAGATAGAATGCCTCGTTTCCAGTAAAAAGGGTCTCCGGTTCTCTACACTCACCATACGAAACACAGCAGCATTGAGCTGTTATTTTACGCTAGTATTATGTGAGTATGGTCCTTCCTGGTCAAGCTGACCCATTCGTGCTACAACTATACTATTTTTATAGCTACAGCATAGCCATAGTAAAAACAGAATAATAGGGCAACTCCCGCGCCGCGCGAGACTTAAATGCCTACTGTTGCAGGGTTGTTACTATCTTTTTGTTTAACAGCTAAGTCTCATTTAGTTTTATAAGTAATTACTTAATATTTACAAACATAATACATACGGATATGTATCTATGCATCATATTTTTGTTAATTATTTCTTTAGCTTCCTCTCATAGAATCAATGCTAGTTAAAAAAAATTCCAGCTATACATTACAACAAATGCCAAATAACTAAAATACGAGTAAATTAACACTGAGCATATGGTGTCAGCTCCGATTTAATGTTTAAAATTAATTTGTTCATCAATGACACCGTCTCTGCACCGCCGCCGCCCCGTCACTTTCATGTCTATTTATAGACCGCGAGTTCAGTGCCATTTTTTCAACCATATTTTCTAGACAACATATAAATTATTATATCCGTGATGTGATATGATAATAAATGTACTTATGAGATATGTATCTATGTATAGATATAGTAATATAACCTATTAATAAAAATATATTAATTTATTTTACAAAAACAGAAAATAGAACCAAAAAAAGACTGCTAGCAAAAATATATTAAAAGCAAAGACAGTACAATGTTTTATGTGCTGTCTACATATTTGTAAAGTATAAGCACAGTTTAAACAGCAAGTGTAGTGTGCATGCTGTGGCTCGTGCGTACGAGTCCATTCCAGGCACGCACACATATTAGCGGCGTTCGGTACATTTCTTAGAAGATACTATATACTATAGCCTACTATTCTGGTTTTACTATGGCATGGCTCTACCACGTATCAAATGTTCTTTTTCAATAGTACATGGAGTATATATCAAGGCAAAAAGCGTTTACTTTTGTCTCTTAGACTGTGTTTTATATATTAATGTGCAGTTGAAAGCCACCTGTATCCATCGACTTCCTGGATGTCTTACCAGGTCGTCACTCCATCAAGTGGGGGCCGCTCCACACTTCGCCTTGTAAAGTGTAACCTATGAACAAGTTCAATTAATCTAACGAAACTATAGTTAATTAAACAATAAACATACCTCATTTTCAGCGCGTTCCTCGTCGCTCTGATATTGTACGTCCAATTCAGAACTGTTTACACTGTTCTCCCAATCTTCGGACGACTCGATTGATGAAGCATCCAAATCCATTTCGGCTATTGAAAAGCGGAAGTTTGTATTTTATTATTCGCCCTAAAACCTCCAACCAAGGATGGATAATTAGAATTCATTTTTACTATTTTCTTTCGACTTTCCCCTTGGCTGTGTACAGTAACTTATAGTAACATTATAAAAACTGGCTCAAGATACTTAGCATACATTACCCATAAAAATATATACATACATCTTGTTTGAAAGGTCAACGTTGAAATAAAAGGAGTACCTCACAGGATTACAGATTCATTGCAATTATTGGAATAAAATAATTTTAATCACATCGGTGAGCAAAAAATTTTAAAAAACGATTGCAAATTTACATTGAAAGTGCCGAATTTATCCAGGATATCAAATTACGTCTACTCAATATTGAAATTAAAGTTGGTAGTTGCCTGATCATATTGCGGAGTTTATAAATTACGCTATAATATTATTTAAAACAAGGAAGTTTTATTTGATTTCAATGGAATACGTAATGCGTGGACTTTAATAGGTTATATCGGTAACGGTATCGGCAACACGTAATAAGTTTTTTGATAAGGTTTGTGGTTATTAAAAATTAATTACTTAATAATTTAAGTTTATGCGTTGAACTGTACTTTGTGAAATGAAGTGAATTCCAATTATCCACCCGGACGCGACGGACACGAGTTTTCCAAGTATCCATCCACCCTAGGGTGGCTTCTTTAGGGTGGATAAACGGTATAACCCTGTTTTTATCACCATTTATAGGTCTTATACCACCATCACTATACAGTACACGGTTTTTTTTAATTTTACATAAAAGTAACCTCATAGTAAGTTAACGTAAGTAAATTGAACATGTGTGTACAACACATGCAAACTCGAAGCATTATATGCAGGCAATAATAGCATTTAGTTGTCGTCGTCGTTGCTCAAAAGACTACTGCAATATTTGGGAACCATATTTTTATAAAACTGTAGTAATACTTAATAGGTTAGAGGACAGAAAATGGTTAGACAGTGAGAGAGATTTTTAATATGTGGTACATTCCCTTTCTACGTACGTTGAAAAGGAATGTACCACATATTAAAATTAAATCTCCAGCCTCCCGAACAAGCCTGTTTCCGAAAAGGCTTTAGCACCATAGACCTCATTGCATACTCGGCAGCAAATTGTACAGAAATTGTATCTGAACTATGAGGAAGCCTTCGATTCCATTGGAATTTGGGCGGTTCTGCAGTCCCCTCAGGAGTGCCAAGTTGACTGTCGGTATATCGTACCACTAAAGTGGTTGTACAGTAGGGCTAAGTTGGCTATCCGAGTACAGAACCAGAGTACGAAACCTATCCAACTGCAGAGAGGTGTAAAACAGGGTGACGTTATATTCCCGAAACTCTTCAACTGAAAAGGAAACGGTATTAAGATCAATGGCGAGCACATCACTCACCTTCTGTTTGCCGACGATATAGTCCTTGTGGGAGAATCGCTATCGACCTAAGCACTATGCTCAGTGACCCCAATAGTGCTTCCCAATGGATAGGTCTTAAGATGAACATGGACAAAACAAAGATCATGTGTAACGTCCATGTCACACTTACGCCAGTAGTTGTTGAGAGCACTAAGCTCGTAGTTCTTGACGAAACCTGGGGCAAATAGTCCGACTAGGTAAGTCCAACTTCGACGGAGGTCGATCGACGGATTCAACTCGGCTGGGCAGCGTTCGGGAAATTACGACACATCTTCTCGTCAGGTATACCTCAAAACATGAAAACGAGATTGTGTTGCTTATGATGACTTATGGATCTGAAACGTGGTCCTTCACTGCTGGCCGTATGAGGAAGTTCAAGGTCGCTCAGCAAGCTATAGAGAGAGCTATACTCGGGGCTTCTGTGTGATAAACTTCATCGCCATCATCATCATTCACGACACCCTTCACAAGTCCACTGCTGACATAGGCCTCCCCCAAAGAATGCCACAAAGAACGGTCCTGAGCCACCTGCATCCGTCGACTTCCTGCATGTCTTAGCAGTACAAGTGGGGCCCAAGGCAGTACGCCCAAAAGTACGAAACTTAGAAATGAGGATATCTAAAGTAGAACCAGGGTGACGACATAGCCTATATATATATATTTTTTTTTTTTTTTTTTTTTTTTTTTTATATATATAGCATATGCAAAATATTTCATACCGATGACGAGAGGATCCGCATGTCGCGCAGCTGGTACAGCTGGTAATCTCAGAGCTGTTGCATTGACTGCCAAGGCTTGGGTAGCATGCGCCCTGCTGCTTGAAGGTTGAGGGTTGGGGGTTATCTCCTCAGTGAACCGCACCAGAGGATAATCCTGGAAATAATTAATAAATTATAACATATTAAATATAGCGAAGTGTATGGTGGTGACTACTAGATGGCGTGACAGCCTTGTAAGACATATAGAAAGGCGATGGATGTAGGTGATTCAGGATAGTGCTTTGTGGCATTACTTGGGCTAGGTGTATATTCAACAGTGAACTTGTTGTGTATTTTTTCTATCTGGAAAATATTACGGCGTTTTGTGTAAGTGGAATAGAAGCTATCATCGAAAGTATTTGTAAAATATAACAAAATATGACTAGATAGGCAAAAGACGTATATACAATTCATCCTACGGCGTTTGCGTAAAACTAAAAACAGGCTACGATCGCTAGTGAAAGATGTAAGATGCAAGACGCATGCACATCTTTCGTTATGTAGGCACCAGGCGGTCGGGAGGGAGGCGAGCGGCCGACACATCGTTGTAGCCAACATTTTTAGAATCAGCTGACGCGCGCTTTACGTTATCAATTTTTTTTCTCTTATAAGTATTTAAGCACTTTTAATATTTATTTTTGATTTTGACTGCCTCGTTGGTCAAGTAGTTGTAGTAGTGTGACAGCTAATCATGAGGTTCTGGGTTCGAATTTCGGGTCGGGACACAAAATCAATTTATTAAGTTTTTCCGTCAAGCATTTCTCAGAAGCTGCCCGAAGTCAGGAAGTTGGCGGTGTCTCACCCCCGTGCCTCGGAAAGCACATAAAGCCGTTGGTTAGTGGTGGTTTTTACGCGTATAATGTCAATGATTTTAAAACGTTCAGTGTAAGTAGACCTCACAGTACTAGTACTGCCCACTAATACAAGATCAGCATATACTGGTTATTAGTAAAATACTTGGTCGATAAAAGAAACAGATTTAAAATGGCAGCACTTTTCATTGCCACTCTTTTATTAATAACGCCGTCGCATGTCGCATGTTCGTAAAGAGCAAAAAATGTGAAACAGAAAATGGTGAATAGATAAATTATCTTTCGTTTCAGATTTTTATTTTTGTTATTTTGATGGTTCCTTCATACTTTTACACGCTTATGATGGCTTTCTAATGTGCTGTAGTTGAGTAGAATTACATGTTAAGTTTTATCTTACATTTTATTGAATTGATAAACAGTTTCTAATAGTAATTTTCATGCCTACCTTATACTGCAACATCTTAGCGTATTTAAAAGATCGAAATCTTAAAACAAAAACTTATTTAAAAACTACACTGATTGATATTTACAAAATTATACTACATTATTGTAATTTACAAAAATTACGTTTCAAAGCGTGCCTCTATCTCTTTTTATCACATTAATTGCGTCTATTATATGCTGCTTTAAATTACTAACACTTTGTGTTTATTCTGTGTACACTAATCGTTTTAGTTCTGCCCACAAATAAAATTCTTGAGGTGTTAGGTCTGGTGATCTCTCTGGCCAGTTCATAGGTCCACGGCGATCTATCTACCTATCACCGAATTGGCTCGTCATTGTTAGATACATTAGAGTATTGGTACATGTTTACGATACACATGCGGAAACATAAACAATACGACGGCGACGCGACGCCACGCTTCGGCTAACCACAGGTGAATGAAATGAGAGTTGAGGGCTCGGCTTTGTCCTTAGCCTGTGACCCTGCGAAAGGATATTGACAAAGATGCCTACCAAATTTATTGTTTCATTGTATTTCGTAAAGTACGGTGGATATGATTTGAATTTCGATAGATTTTATTTATTTATTTAATGTAAAAAAATTGTTTTGCATTTTGTAAAATATCAGTGGCCATAGAATTCTACTCCGTTCACCAGTAACACCCTATTTTTTTCCAGACGGTAAAGATAGTCAACCAGTATAGTTAACGAGTATTCGCTGTCTTTTATTGAGAAATACATACAGACATTAAAAACGCCGCCATAAGAATTAGTAATCAAATCAAATATATAAAAAAAAATTATATCTAATAAAGCATACATTTATTCATAGGATGTTTCGATGCCATTTTCGCATTAAAAGTCCGGTTTATTGAAGTTCAAAGGGCGCTTAACAACTATTCTAGATGAGATAAATGAAGCTATTTTACTGAAGGAGAAGGTCGAAAACTACAACTTCATTATGTTATTGTTTTTCCTCTGCAGAATTTTATAAACCATCAATGCGGTCAATAAAGCCCTTCAATCTAAAGCCATCGATCTTTCAAATGCTTCAAAGCGCTTGCAAGTCAGTCTGGAAGACCTTGAAAAATATCGAAATGAATTTAGAGATTTAAAAGCGCAAGCAAATAATATAGCAAAAAAAATGGTCTATAAACCCTGAATTCCCTAAAAGAAGTCAGAAGAATGTGGAATGTCATTTTGATGAAAATGAATATCTCCAAGATCCTGAATGTTTGTTTAAAGTAAACATATTCTACATCATCGTTAACCACAGTGGCGAAGCTAGGGCTCCAAACTAGGGCAAGCCCAAGATATGGTTTTGTTGTTTTTAGCAGTTTTATAAAAATACACCAATTTTGATCTGTCTCCACTCCGCTAGATAGGTTATATGACCGTAGAATCAATCAATTTTCGTTCGATAAAATGGCTTCACGTATAAAATTAAGTATATGGCGCTATTAAAATTTAATATACTGAAGACTAAAGTAAATATTTTTTAAAAACCTCAATACAAATTTAATTTATTAAATTAAAATTTGGGCTTCACATTAAAAAAAAAGATTGTAACAATTATTTGCTACAAAATTAAACTTATACCTAGGTATCTCATATTTTATGCTGCAGTTAAAATTATATTTTTAACTCATATGGTAATATAAGTATTGAGTTATTAAACCTTTAAATACGTCTAGAATAATTAAACTTTAATACTAAAGAGCCCTGTACCTATTAAAGTGTGAAGAAACGTTTATTGAATTAAAATTTTATTTTTAAAGATTTTCCCTTTTCCTCGCTGATTAGCACTTTAACACACTTATATTCATCACAAAGAACACTCTTTCCCTCCATTTTCACTAAAAATCTTTAAAAAAGTATAAATTTTCAACTCACAATATTTTACATTATAATATATTCGCTCAAGCTAACACACAATGTAAACATTGAAATGTGACGTGAACTTGCAAACATATCGTCGGCGTCGCCCACGCGCCTCCGTGTCTCCACTAACTTCATACCTAACGTGACCATACGTCCCCCTTTAGGCAGGACGTTCCCGATTTAAAGGTTTGTGACTGCGCTGTCCCCGCTGTCCCCAAAATACGTAAAAATGTCCCGCTCTGACAAACAAAAGCGTAACAATCACGCAAACTCTGTCACCCGTGCCATGATTATGAGACCGCACGTACCAGGTTTGCCAGCATGGCTTGTATAGTTACGTGATTATTCTGAAAAGCTACACTTTTGAATTTAAAGTTACGAAGTGACAATTTTTAATTAATCTACAATAAATTATTAAATAACGTAAAATATTTCCAATTAGTATTTATTTGATGTTCAGAATTCACTTTTGATCATTAAAAGATTCAAACAACTATGTGCTTTATTTTTAAACCTATATTAAAGGACTTCAGATTGAATTTTGGTAACAAGGCCATTCTCAACGGAAAATAGCCATCTGCGCATCTGGATTATATTGCCCAAGTGTAATACTACTCCTACTGAGAATTTTGTGACAGAAAAACCCAATAAATGATTCTTGACCCGACTCAGGTTTCGAACTTGGGACCACATGATCAGCAATTGCGTTTACGGCCATTAGACCAAGAAGGCAGTCAAAAGCGTTAGAACTATAATAATTTTCAAGGCGTCCCGCTCTGAGGAAAAAATTGATGGTCACTAAAAAGCCGGGCTTTTTATCTCCATAATAATTGCTATTTATCGTAGTTATGTTTCATTATAGAACATTTTGCCACAGGTTAGAAAGGGAGCGATCGCCTTCTCGAAAGCCCGGTAAAAAGCCCACGTGCGCGAGGGAGACAACCAATGGCTCAATTCAACTCTCCTTATATGTATGACAGCAGTATTCCTAAGGCTACGAGGTCGCACAGAGCGCGCGGGAAATTTGAAATAGTTTAAAACAGTTTACGAGTTATTTAATTACTTGATACTCGTATTATTGATTGATTCAGCTTGACAAGGCAAGCCGGACTTCTGGGCTTGTATGGAGGCTTCGCCACTGGCTTAACCAACTGAGATAGCGTTTCTTTGAAATGACACAATTTTGCAAAATTTAAATGATACTGATTTATAGGAAAAGGCTTTATAGTATTTGATTTTGATTCGATTTATTTAAAACGACATATCTATTTCGTTTTCTAAGGAAATTCTCAGTTTTCGATTGGCTTTTAGACAAGAAATAGAAACGTCATCTTTTATAGGAAAACTTGCTGGTTTATTAATCATAAAGAATTATTTTATTTTTTAAAGCTTTTCTGAAGTTTGCGTTGCATTTAATATATTTTTAACCATTCCTGTGACGATAGCTAGTGCTGAGCGATAATTTTCAAAATTGAAATTGATATAAACTTAATTAAGAAATTCTATGAAACAACTTAGTTATTCTATCCATCTAATATTCCATGTTGAACGGAAAGCCCGAAAAAAAATGTAAAAGAAATTATGTAATAAAACAAAAAATTTTGATGTCAGTCCAGTACGCTCATAAAATTAAAAAGTTGCTAGAAAATCAACTAACAATAATAGCATTTTATGTAGAGATGGGCCGAATATTCGTTTTATATTCAGTATTCGGCAGCTTTACCGAATATTCGTATTCGGTCGAATATTCGGCTAAATCATCAAACATTCAAAAGTTAAAGTGGTACTCAAACTGTATTGAAATGCACAAATTGAGTAATGCCATGTCATTCATAATTTTACTGTTGAAAAAGTTGAAATATTTTATTTATGGGTTAAATCTACTTATATAGCGTTATGTTTTAGAGGCACTGTAGATTTATTTCCAATTATAGCAAGTAGAAACCTTGATAATTTTTTTTTGTAATCAAACAAATAAATATTACATTACATTAGTACATTTCACTTTACTTTGGTCGTCAGTTTAGACATCTATATCTATCCTCGATTACGAATCATAATGCAGATGCGTTGTCACCCGTGAGGACTTAGATGGAATGCCTCGTTTCCTGTAGGAAGGGTTTCCGGTTCTCTACACTCACCATACGAAACAGCAGCGTTGAGCCACTATTTGACTGATATATCTTTTTCATTAGTATATCTCCTGCCACTTATTTCTATCACATAATTATCAATTTTGTTAAGAGTAACACAACGAAATACTTTTTTTCTCACCAAAATAGTCAAGACATAAGCATGTACCGGTAATTTTCTCAGTACTAAATAATGCAATAACACGTCAGGTGTGGCGGGGGAGCGAGAGGCAGGGTGCGGCGCTAATCCCGCGCACTTTACGGTAACGAGTTTTGACATAAATTGCTTAGGTCCCGAGGTTATCCTGTCGAACAATGTTCGGCCGAATATTCGGTTCGGTAAAAGTTTAACCAAACTTTCGGCCGAATATTCGAACTCGGTGAAATACATATTCGGCCCATCTCTAATTTTATGTACCTACTTCACACAGTGATTATTTATAAAACATTTTTTAACGTTATTTGAGGTTCTTTATATTGGGTGAGAGAGAAAGCCCAATCCTATTAATTTGCCACGGGCCTTTAACGTTATAGTTACGCCACTGATTCCATCTTAGTCCTCAAAGCATCTGCATTTTGATTCAAATCGAGGATAGATGAAGATGTCTTACATCATCCATTTAACATCCGGTGGACTGTGTGCTTGATTGTCACCCTTATTCTATAAAAAATCAGTGGTAAATAAAAAAAATTACTAAGTAATATGTAATAACTACATTGAATAAAAAATATTAAATTCTATTCTAGTCAACTGTAGTTAAGTATGTAATAGATCTTCTAGATGTATGTACCGTTTTATAGAATTTCTTTGTAGAATATAAAGAAAGTACTCTTACCCGATGATCAAGTTCACATATAGGGTTTAATCGGAGATCTATCATTTCCAGCATGGTGAGAGAACCTGTATCAAAATCGTCAGGCAAAGATGAAATCTGAAAAGGAAAAATACATTTTTCTCTATCTTATTAAAAATTAGGGATGTAACGATTCCGATACCGATATAATCGGCAGATCGATATATCGGCAACACCGATTATATACAACCGATATTAAGAGTTCGAAAAGCGCGCGAAACGAACAACGTCGTCAGTTACCTCAGAATGCCTGTTTTCAGATTATCTGCTAATAATTTAAACAAACATTGTTTTCTTCACACAATTCTACCAAAAGTTAACTGTAACTACTGATTTTATTCTTGATATCGATGTACTTTACCATTTTGTGTAATGAAAATTACTTTCTTAATTAGCGCTTTGATTGATTGATAAAATTTTTGATTATTTCACATAAAAAAAATGTTTTCTTTGAACTTTTGTATTCAAAATTTTGATTTGACATTTCGTTTTTCAACCTTCTCAAGGTTCAATCTCTGATAAATATACCCAACTATTATGCATAATAAAGAAAATTATTCATTACTTATTAGTTTTTTTTTCTATTTCTACTCAGTCATCGATACAGGTATCAGTATCGGTATCGTCGATTATTTACTACAATAATCGCTATCGGTATTGTATCGGCACAATTATGTATCGTTACATCCCTTTTAAAAATACACTTACAGTACAGCCTAGTAAAAGTTTGCTGAACATAGGCGGCTGCCATACAGACAGAAAGGATCCCTTTGAGACAATCTGTCATAATTGCACGATTGGAAGGCGGGTTAGCAACCGCAGTTTATTAAATTTTTTATTTATTTATTTTTTATGGAGATTTTGCTGCCCACCTCCTATTTAACTGCCTTTTGTCGCCTCTTTCGACAACCAACTCACGATAAACGATAGAATCTCAAGGCCACTCACTAAGCAGATAGAAAAACTTGAGATTTATATCACTATCAAAGCACTTTTAACATTGTTTCCACTGATAGTTCTCGTTTGCAGACATTTAATCCACACTACTATCAAATTGCATTTCAAATTTTGGTACACGAGATGATTATACCAGGGTTGCTTAAGTATTCTTAAGTAAGTTGCTTAAGTACGCTCAAGTAGTCCCAGTGTCATTTGTCAAGTGGTCCCTCAGAAATACAATAACCTGAAGCAAGAGAAGAGAGGTGGGGATGAGAGGAAGGGTTGATACGTTGATTTTCATCCTGTACTTCCCTGCACAATTTTATTGAAGATTTCATATTTAGAATCAGTTTTCAGACTTTAAAAACGAAATTAGTCAACTTTTTAGGGGAATGAGAGAGGGATGGAAGTTTTCAATATCCTTCGAACCTAGTAAACACTAAGAAATGAGTGAGAATTATTTTTATGGAGCTTCGCCCGCCACTGCTGAACCAGTAAAGATCTTCCTCGCTTTGCTCAACATCACACCCAAGGTTTACAGAAACAAAGGGCGGGCTTAATGCGTTAAGGCATAATATAAAAATCTACTAGGGAGCCTAGTATAAGTACGAGCACCATTTACATTAAACAAATTCATTCAATAATGATTTCTTAAATTTACGCGAACACTACACATTGAATAAAACTATTATTTACGGATTTTATCGCGTTTAATTACTTTAATTTATTTTTATTATTATCCCGACGTTTCGGGTGCTTTACAGCGCCCATGGTCACGGGGGGACTGAGATGTTTGACGTCCCAATGTCATAGTTAGTCCGGCTACCTTCAGTTTTTTAATATTAATTTTTGGTCCGATTTACGCAAAACGAGCTTATAGTATCATGAAGTCTTGCAGTGGTATGCTTGGGTTTGGGTTTAATTTTGTTAATTATAGGATCCCAAGCAGATGGTAGCACCCAACCATCTTCTCTATTGAAATTTGGATGTTTTTTAATTTCAATAGCCTCGCGTATCATCCTTGGTAGGAATCGGTGTTCTTTTGCGAGAATTTGTGGTTTATCAAATCTAATGTAATGGTGGGGACGATCTTGAACATGTTCGCAGACTGCAGACTTCCCGGAGCGTCGGTGCTTCACATCAGCTATATGTTCCTTCACGCGGGTTTTTATAGATCTCTTTGTTTGACCTATGTAAGAGAGACCACATTCACAATCTAGCTTGTACACACCTGCATCTTGTAGAGGAATATTACATTTGATGGATGGAAATTCATTCAAGCATTCATTCATTACAGCTTATGAAAAGTCGAATGCTAAACGTAGGCCTTCCTGTATATTATATAGATACAGAGGAGATATGTTTGACGGATAATCCTATAATATTCCAGCGCAACTTGTCTATCTCTTCTTCCAGCTCCAGGATCTTCTTGTCAGTCCTCAGGGAGCGTCGGTTATATGTTGCCATGTCGAGTCGTCGTAGGTGGCAACCGAATCTCCAACGGAGATTCTTAGCACCCCCTGCCCCGCTGTTACGGCGACCATGCGCCACCGTAGACAGGAATAGCGGGGCAGCCGGGGACTGGGGGCCGTCTATTTGCATCTTTTCTCATAGGGGGTATTTTTTATTTTTAATATATAATTTAATATAGTATATAATAATTTAATAAAACAATTTATTAATGACAGGAGCTTGAATCGATTCACTGAATCAATGTCGTGCTTCAAATTAACGTCGAATAATCGAATGATTAATCCATCTCAGAAAATATTTACTTGAAAACTAGATATTTCCACTGAAATAGCCACTAGGATGTGCATCAGAGCATTATGGTACATCATTAACACCAAAATCACCAATGGGTGCGTTTGGCAGAAAAAAGCGCTAGCAAGCGCTTACAAGCGCTGAAATAGTTTTCGGCCAGGACACGATTACTACTTCAGTAGCGCTGACACAATCCGCCATTTTGCTTATTTAATTTGTTTGTTTTGAAATAGAGTTTATAATTTGTTTTGTGCAATATTAGTTTTAAGTAATATAATAACGTGAATAAACATATACATGTTATTAAAAATTCATGATTGGTAAGTTTTTAATACGAATACTTTACAAACATATATTTAAATTAAGTTAGATTCCCCGGTTAAAACTAACATCGTGTCCTGGAGGAAAATAGCTACTTACGATTTGACAGCGCTTACCGCTTACGATCGCCATTTTGCTTACAAGCGCTTGCTAGCGCTTTTTTCTGCCAAACGCACCCAATGAAAACATGCAAGGCTACTGAAGCTAACCCGTTGTACTGTCATCTATTGGGAAGTCGGACTTACAGAGGTAATGGATTTTCTAATGCCACCAGTACATTGCTAAATCTTTTCAATAATTATTCGAATACTCAATCTAAGAAATAAATTCTATTACCTGATTGTTATTGAGTTGTAGGAACATCAGGTCTGAACATTTCATTATTGAGACCGGGAACTCCTTGATCATATTATTACGCAAGTTGCAGTGCACTAAGGATTCCATCTTGTCCATTGTGCTTGGTAACATCTCAATTTGGTTGTTTTCTAAAGTTAACCACCTGTACGGAAAATTATTAAAATTACAGAATTGTGTCATTACCAGATTTAAAACAAATTTTTGTTTTTTATTTGTTCATTAGTACATAATTTTACAAGATCGACAGGCTTACTCATAACCCCTGACATCAATTTAATAAACGCTTTTATCTTACTCTTTTCCCTAAATGACAATGTAAAATACAGGTGATAATTATCACAGCTGCCAGTCTTAACGGAAACTAGCTATTTTTGCAGGACAGGATTATAGTGCCCAAGAGTGTGCACAAGCACAGGTGCACTCTCACCTGTGCTTATGCACACTCTTTATTTGATACTAACAACTTACAAATTACTTACTCTCTTAGACATATACATATAATATAATAGGCTCTAACTTTACTTTACTTTTACCAAAAATATTAAAAAAATTGATCATAATATATTACAGAAATTTCGACTAGATACAAACCATACATTAACAATCACAAGATAAACAAAAGTAATAAGGACATAATGTGGGCATTATTTTTACTTGAGGAAGTGATCAACCCATTCTCTATTCATCTACACAGACTGATGTAATTGTAATCCAACACAATCGGAAAGGGATTAGGCGCAAGACCAACGGCGTGTTTTCCAAGGTACACAGGTGAAACATAGCCAACTTCCTGAATGCGGGCAGCTATTGACAATTTCTTGTTAGAAAAACCCAGTGAAAGATTTTAGCACGACTGGGATTCGAACCAGGGACCTCACAATCAGCAATTGCAGATTACAATGACTAAACCAACTAGGCAGTGGGTCGGACAGGACAAGTAAAGTGATAATTAATATGTAATTTAAGCAATAATCAAAGAGTAATTCCAGCAGTATTTTTTTTTTACAAATTAATACCTAACCATGGTTGCCTATAGCTCGAAGAACCGACAACTGTTGGGGAAAAAAGGTTCTCGAGTGGCAGCCTCATACCGGTAGGCAAAGTGTAGGGCAACCCCCCACTAGATGGAGTGACGACCTGGTAAATGTCTTACCAGGAAGTCGATGGATTCAGGTGGCTCAGGACCGTGCTTTGTGGCATACCTTGGGGGAGGGCTATGTTCAGCAGTGGACTTGTGAAGGGCTGTAATGATGATGATGATGGTTGCCTAGTAGATCAAATTCAATTGTGGGTAGTTGGTGAGTAGTCACACAGACTGGTATATGATCCTTATATTTTTCTCAATACAAATAACTTTATGTTAATTTATAATAAAACCTAGCAATCAACCCCGGCTTCGCATGGGTAATTTCTGGTTGACCACAGCACCACCTAACAGATCCTGTAATGTGAATCTTAACCATCTAGGTCTCAAACATAAAAAAAGTTATCAAAATCAGTCGCGGCTTTTGTGGTTTTAGAGAGATTAAGGGACAGCAATTGTTTTTTATATATAGAGACTAATCCAATTGATCTTTTATAGTTATTTTAATTATAAATAATCATTTATATTAGGGAACCATTAATTTTTTAAATCAAATTTTTACAAATAAACCATAAACAATAAAGTCAGAAAAGATAGCAAAAAAATTGAAATCAGGATAAAACTAAAAAAAAACTGCTAGACGTCTCACAAGTCATGTGTCCTACTGAAAAAAAAATCAATCCTTTCTCTAATGGCCAAAAATGGCTATCATTTAGTGCAATATTAAGACTGCTATAGGATAAAGGTAAAGGGTGGACCATAAGTCCTGTAACATTTGAATTGCTCGCTGCTTTGAATTGCATAGAGTGGGATAGAGGGTGGGTCACCAAACACGAGAGTGGCTAATAGGAATTTAGTAACATGGCGTCATTTACCGGAGCACAATGCGCGTTTTGCGTACGCGAGTACTATCGCAACAACGATTTGTTCTCAGTACAACATACAGAATAAAATCAAGCTCCATAGACTCGTGTAAAATTGGGTACTGAAGTTTGAGAAGATGGGATCCAAATTAAATCAACCATGAACCGGCCTACCTAAGATGTTGCAAGAACCTGTAAATATCCCTCTCTACTCGAAAGCGGTCTGGTGTTTTAAATTTGCCCAGAACATCTCTAAATCGTATTCTACACAAGTATTTACATCCATACAAAATTCAAATTGTACAGGAATTAAGGCCTAATGACTATGCTCAGAGACTGCAGTTTGCTAAGGAAATGCTTGAGAGGTTCTTATGGTTGTAGCGTGAATGGGTTGGCTCAACTGGGTAAGGTCCACACACTCACAGAATACAAGGGTAATATAGCGGCTGTGTTTTGTATGATGAGAGTAGAGAACCAGAGACCTTTTTTACTGGAAAAGAGACATTCCATCTTACTCCTCAAGGGTGACAATGCATCTGCATTTTGATTCTTAATATCGAGAATAGATATAGATTTCTATGGGCCTTAGAATCCACTTACCATTAGGTGAACTGTGTACTCGTTTGTCACCATTATTTAAAAAAACATTCAGTGCTTAATTTTATCCACAAGACCTACATCTGAAGATATACTCATCCCTTAAAAACTATAGATATTAAATAGTTAACATTGCATTATGCTTGCACACAAGCATACTGAACAACATCCTTAAACTAGTTAATTTTTATTTAATGCATTAGTTAATTAAATCTTGCAGTAATATTGCATCAAGTCAGTGAACACAGATGAATCTATTTATTAGAGGCAGCAAACGAGCATACAGCGGACCTGAAAGTAACTGATTACCACCACCCATAATAGGGTGGCCACCAGGGAAATCGGTGATCTTAAGTATAAATACTTTGTATTTACCTTAATTTATGTAGAGCAGTCATTTCTTCTGGTATGGCTTTCAATTCATTTCCTCTTGCTCCAAAAGTATCTAGTTTAGATAACTTTCCTATCTCTTTTGGGATCTCTTTCAGTCCTATCCGATTACACCAGAAGGCTTCTAAGTTCTCCAACTCTCCTATTTCAGGAATTAATTCATTTAAGGGATTATAACTTATGTTTAGGTTCACTAGGTTCTTCAAGTTACTGATTTCAGATGGCAATGAATTTATGTTATTATAATCCAACGTCAATGTTGTTAGATTCGATAACTGAGTTAATTGCACTGATATTGTAGAAATTCTATTTTTATGTAGATACAGATGCTCGACGTCCAAACAGGAGTACAACAGATTGGGTATTTCAGTAATTTCAAAGGCGTTTAGACTTAAACGGGATTTCTTTTTTGCAACTGCCTGTTCTATTACTGCCAATATGTGGTTTTCACGGATGAATTTTAATATAGCACTCATCCTGCAGCTATATTTGGTCCTACTGCATTATGAATTGCGTTTGATTTTGTTACTGACAAGCAAAATGTAAAGAAAAAGCTGGTGACAATGACGACAAAAAACAGCAGTTGGGGTTGGTCCAGACAGGTGACAATGACAAGTGACAAGTGACAAATTGACAGAAAAAGATACGTAGACAGAGAAACCTATAGACGAATGATCGGCGTGGCCTCGAGTGAGAAAGGACGATTACGAATTTTTAGGTTATACAATAATCTTTATGATATATTTTAAACACATTTAGATAAAAATTTTAACTGTTCTAAGAACTGAACTGACCAAGATTCACCAATCTTAAGCTCACAAAACACTTTTTTCTCACTTAAACCAACTTGTAAACTCCTTAAGACGCTACGCTGTTAAAGTTGTTTAGCAAACTTTAAAGTTTGCTAAACAAAAAAACCGGCACGGAGAAAGGGACAAACAATCACACCGCTCTATCTCATTTCTATGCAAGACGTATGCATAAATCTATCTTTTTCGTGTGCGAATGCGAAAGAAGGCGTCAATTTGTCTATAGGTTTCTCTGTCTACGAAAAGATATGATACGTTGCTATATTAATACCAACTTCTTCTACTAAATGCTAAATGAATATAAGTTCTGTTTTTATTATATCAATAAAATAATTTTAAACGAAAAAATAATTAATAATATAGTAAATAATAAGCATGTAAATGTATTGAATATATACATGTGTCTTAGACTTAGAACCGTGCATTTTAGCAATCTATGATGGAGGCTAATTTTGTTCATCAGTAGAGTATTGATTTGTAATGGGCTGTATTGTTATTGTGTTGTTATAGTTAATTATAATAATTATTAATACACATACATAATATGATGTTTATATAAAATTTTTGTATCAACGGGTTCACACACAAAGGAACGTTACAGATTTTATCGATTTCGTCCTCATGAATAGAGCTCATAAAATCGATATCGTGAAAAATAAACAAGATTGTATTTCTGTAAAGTTCATTTGGTGAAATATTGTGAACCAGTATTATGTATTAACAATAGTGTGGTTTTATTATTAAAAATGTCCTTTTCTGTTGCCCAAACCAAACTTTTAGTCTTTTGTATATTTATGGCATATTTAATAATAAATACAGACGGTACTCACTCATCTTACATAAAAATATATTTTATTTGGAACGATATGCAATAAGTGTTTCTAATTTTCAGCTATTTCCCAAAATAAAACGTTTCACCATATCCGGAGATCGGGCGTAGATGACAGCTTTTTTAAAAATCAGAAGCAGGGCTTCTACCGATCATACCAGCCGGTATCTATCAAGTATCATAAAATATCTTATCCCAAAACTGATGACCGGAATGATTATGATATAACATCATACGATACAGAATATGGTGGTGTAGTGTCTAATTTTACGTCTTCAATTTATGACGATAATCCGCCCTTGTATCCAAATCCTGAAATCTTTTCAAAAAACAATCTGGGTAATACTTTTTCATTTTAGTGTATTATTTTAGGAAGCAAACATAAGAAACTTATTTTTTAATACGTTATATTTCTAGCCCTTAAATTGAAAAGCAAAACAGAAAATGAAGTGGAACTACCTGATGATTCCTTGGCAGATGCTGATCTCAAAGAGCATAATATTATCGACAGTGTTACTTACCTTTATGGGTTTAATAACTGTCACGGTGATCGAAATGAGTGGATAATATTGGTAACTTATAGCAAATTACATATTTTAGTTTTTATTTACGTGCATGTAATGTAGCAAATAGTGGCTATTTAAAAAAAACACCCTATAAAACTGAATTTGCTATCAAAAGGATAAAATATGAAATATAAAATACACATGCACTTGTTTTTTGTCAACACGTAGTTTTTTAACTATCGTAGCTTTCAAGGACCATGTTTTAAAGGTAGATCATAAGTTTTAAGAACATCTCTATTCCTCTTTACCACAACTAAGTGCACTATCCGTTATTAGATCCAAAACCACTACCTAATTCTGATCCGACAGTAGCAAATACAAACCACTCTTGATTATAAATACATGACACGTACTTTATTTTCGAACGATGATTCCGATATGGCAAACTAAAGTAGTGTTGTGTGTAGGACGAGGAGGTGTTCTTCAATTGAGATAATTTATGCCATTTGATTTTGGTGTATAGATCTTAGTCAATTAAGTTATAATGTTTTGCCGCATAGCAGCTGTTTTTCCATTACCCTTTTTTGTGTTCTTTTTTAACCATGATTATTTTTTGGCCGTGGAAAGAAAAAGGTAGATCTTCCGCCGGGCAAAGTATTCAGACCAGGGAGTGGCCAATGCTCGGTGTGTTAGTCTATTTTCGAGATTTCGTGATTTATTTCGTGTTGTTAGCCTATGCGACTCTTACAGCTTCATCCTGACTCAGGACTCGCGGCCTGCAAGGTGGCGAGCTAATTAAAAAAGTCATTTCGCGGAGAGGAGGCGCGACGTTTGCTGTTGGAATGTAGTTGGCTGCGTTTGTCACTTGCGGGTTAGGGTGGATTTCGACGCTATCAAAGTAGCGCTGAGGTACCTCCTTGAAGTATTCGGAGATAGAGGGAATTTCACAATCGTTGTGCAAATCTGAGTTCCGTTGACACAACCGTGCACCGGTGGCTTTTCGGATGAAAAGGCTTTGAACTCTTTGAAGTTCTTGAAGATGGGTCTTATAAGTGTAGGCAAAAGCTACATTTGCGTAAGACATTATAGGTCTAACGCAGGTTTTATACAGGTGGAGTTTGTGTCTTAGCGACAGCTTACTCTTGCTGTTAACGAGAGGGTGAAGGTGGCCAATAACTATCTTGGCTCTGTTGCGTACCACACTTATGTGTTTCGCGAAACTCATGCGGGTATCGAACGTGACGACCCTGGTATTTATCCGATTCTTCCCAAAGGATGGGGCGGCCGTATAGAGAAATTACTTTTGGTTTTGGTTTTGTACGTGATGTGGAATTCCGTTGAAAGTATACTGCTATACTTTTTTCGGGATTCACAACTATTCTCCGTAGGCGGACTATTCGCCTACGCGATTGGTAGCTTTTTGGAGTTTCAAGGTGAGACTATTTTTGTTGTAGTCGGAAATATAGAGTGCAGTATCGTCGGTGAAAAGTGCGGTGTTTTCACCACTGGGTTTCTTGGGATATCACTCGTGAAGAGTGTGAAGAGGAATGGAGATAGGACGGAGCCGTGTGGGACCCCGGCCTTTAGGGAACGTTTTGTGAAACGGGTTCCTTCCACTCGATAGTGGAAAGTGCGGTTTGAGAGGAAGGCTTGTATGATGTGCACGAGGCTTTCGGGTACGTTTAGTTTATACAGCTTGTAAATCAAACCGTCGTGCCAGACTTTATCAAATGCCTTTGCGACATCAAAGAAGAGGGCTCCCGTGTTTCGAGACTTTTTTGTGTCGGGTGGTGATTGAAGCCTGAAGATGAATTTTGTGGGTGACACTCACGCGTGTTCGGCTCTAAAGCCAAACTGCTCGTCCGGGAGGAGTCTGTTAATTATAGTGTAGTGATGGAGACGCTTCAGAATAATGCACTCTTATAATTTACCCAACGTGCAAAGCAGACTGATGGGTCTGTAGCTATTGGGTCGCTTACACGGTTTTCCCGGCTTTGGGATCCCTATTACGTCTGCTTCTTTCCAGATTCCAGAGCAGCTCGTAAGAAGCGTGTTGAGAATTCCTACGAAGAGGTAAATAAGTGGTGCCGAAAGAGATTTGATCACGTTGTTGCTGATGCCGTCTGGCCCAGGGGCTGATCGATTCTTTAGGCTTTTGATTATTTCTGTGACTTCATCTACGGTTACACGAACGACTGTTTCGCCCGCTGGTGGCAGCGCAGACTTACGTCCGACTTCCGTTTCTACCTCTAGTAGGTAAGCGGAATCTGTTGGTGCGGTAGATGGGGTGCACTGATACTCTAGACTGTCGGCTAGGCATTCGGCTTTGTCGAGATCGTCCAAGACGAGGTCAGGGTGGTCCAACTTCACGAGAGGCGGCATTAGTGAAGATTTATCTGCTTTAAGAGCTCTCGTTACTTTCCAGAAAGCGTCTTGAGATGGTTCAATTCCTCCTAAGAGGTTGTCCCAGCTATCATTTCTAAATTCGGCTACTCGTTTTGTAGACAACGCACCCGAAGTTTGTTAGCTTCCGTGCGATAACGGTCGTAAGATTTAAGCACGTAATTCTTCGCTCTAATCAGTTGTCGATCATCTGCCGGAAGCTTCGTGTATTGATCACTCGACACACGAACCTTACGAGAGCATTCTTCGACCGCTGAAGTGAGGTGAGGCTCCGTGTGTTAGGTTGGAGCTGTTCTATATATAGCGCATTAGCTTCGGAACTTTGATAGCGTGATTTAGGCTTCACTGCGTTTTTTTTCAGTGCGTTTCGTGTTCGTTTGTGGAGCGATAACTGTGCCACCACAATATTAATGCCACATTCCTTTAAGCAAAAGACGTTCGTTACAATCCGCTTACATCTATGTGCACGTAAAAACCGTTTATATTCGTTCTACATTTTAAAACGACTCGAAATGACAAAACTACAAGCAGTTTGTAAATGCACCATCGAACGAGTCGCATGAGAAAAGGAAACGTTGTATAAAAATTAACCCTTAACAAAAAGTAAAAACTCAATTCTTTTGAGTATACTATGGAATATTACAATCCCAATATTGTCTTAATGTTAATAATTAGGGGTGGAATTTTTTCTCCAAATTTATATGAGACCACTCATTGAGTATAACCTATTTAATAAAAAAAGAATCATCAAAATCGGTCACAATTAGCTGAAAAATCAGTAAACATACATAAAAAAACACATACGTATTCGTCGAAAATAGAACGTCCTCGTTTTTTTGAAGTCGGGTAAAAACGTCATCACTGCATACCCTATCTAGTGAATGAAAATCGAATCCTAGCATTAAACATTTATGCCTACGACGGATACCAAATATGCTGTCATTACAGGTTAAGCCAAGTGAGTGTTGTACCATTAAATCTTTACGACATGTTCTTCGCAATTAACAGCTTCCGATAGAATAGAATAGAATAGAGTAATTTTTATTCAATATAGATCACAAGTAATTCTTATTGAAAGTAATTTTTTATACCGGTTCGGAAAAAAACCTCTAACCTGGGAAGAACCAGCAAGAAACCCAGCGGAACTTCAAAAAAAATATTTTACAATATGAATGATTACAAACTATTTACAAAATTTATTTTAAAAACAGCTTGGAAGGTTCCACCTCATAACTAGATAGAACTTTAAGTTATTGCTGTACGGTCTGGAATAGTTAAAGATTGATGTGATAAAGATTGCTGTCAGTAGAACTGGCTTAAGCCAACTGGGCGAAAATCTGAGAAATTGCCGCTCTTCTTGTGTTTGACAAAACACCACTTGATGGTATAATAAGTAGTCATTAGCCATAGATTGTAACCCGGGTTGGCTACGTCATCAAATTCCTTCATGAGTCAAGGTCGCACCTATAGGACAGTAAGTTAATAAAGGCTACAACACAGTAGTCTTTTATCATGCTTTAATGTACGATTGCACAATACTGTTGCTGTGGTAAAAATTGGCTTGGAAAACAATCTTGCACACTTTAGGTGTTGTATATTCGTTTATTCTTGAAAATACTATATAATATTCGAATAGATATAATAAATTGTTATACGACTGCGGAATTTGAGACCATAAAGACTTTCAAAGGCCGGCTGACCAAACTTTAATCGAATGGTGATCTCCGTATTAACAAAGTATTAGCCAGGCATAATCTCTGGTAGTATGTAAACGTTACGTTGTTAAACTATTATGAGGTTCGATAGCGAAGTTGTTATGTGATTGGCTGAAGTATTGCTTGCCGCGGCTTCGAATCCCGTGGGGAAAGGGTATTCAAAAAGCATGAAAGAATTTGCAATTTTTGTATTTATACAAAACGCATACATGATATAGAAAAAAACCCTATTTTAGGGAATAATGATGTTACATAACATATTTCATCATCATCATCATCATTACAGCCCTTCACAAGTCCACTGCTGAACATAGGCCTCCCCCAAGTAATGCCACAAAGCACGGTCCTGAGCCACCTGCATCCATCGACTTCCTGCATATCTTACCAGGTCGTCACTCCATCTAGTGGGGGGTCGCCCTACACTACGCCTACCGGTACGAGGCGTAACATAACGTATAACATATTTAAATAGCAAAATTTCCTTTTGACAGATATATATAGCCAGTGCGATAACGATAATTCTACTCCTCACCTCGATGATGTGGGTCTTTTGGAGTGATTACGCGGCAGAATTTAGAAAAAATAGCAAATTATACCCAATAAATATCAACTTAAGCTGTTGTATGCTGGCTTGTACGCTAATTTATATACAAGCTGTTATGGTAAGTAGGTACATAACATACTTACTTTTCGTAATCGTTTTTGATTTTGATTCTATCTATGACCGTAGTACTATTATTTATTCTGTGCTATGACTCTTACATAGGTAAAATCTCTCTCTTTCTCTTAAAGCGAGAAGATACGAGTAAGTAATTTAGGAACATAAGCAAAACGATTATAAATAAGGCTAATAAAATAATAAAAATAATATTAAGACAAAGTTTTTTTTAATAAATTATTTGAATTTTGGATGCTGATCAATATGTGTTTCCAAAAGGAAATAATATACCTATATATACATCGTAACAATTGGTTATAGTATACATCGTAACAAGTGGTTAAATTAAAAAATTTGTACAACCGACTTCAATTTAACAACTTTGATAGAAATGAGGGTGGTATCCTGAACACATCTGAGTACCCCTTAAAAGGGATACAGGGGTGATGTTATGTAGTGTGGTTGTGTAAATAATGTATAGATAATTTCGTTTGCTTTTCAGATTTTCAAAAACAACTAAATATTTGTTTCGATGAAATTTAATAACTATTTCAGTGCAGTAGTGACTTCCTCAATAAAGAGATTACGTTGCTACGATGAGTACTATAATGAATATAATTCTAAAGGTGATGATACACTTTGGTTTGACCAGCAACAACAATTATACAGTAGAGTCACATCTTCTGCAATGTTACACTTCATAACATGTTTTGAGTAATCTACTATCAAAAGCTTAGTCGATACAATTCGTGATCAACGAACATGTTGCTATAAAATTATGGCTACTTGAAAATTGGACAATTTGGAATAAACAGGTTGTTATGATGTTACAGCAACTTCCAGACTGCATAAGTAGCAATCGCGGTTGAATTGTTGGCTTTTATTGAAGACTTCCGTTGTCCGTTTCCGAAATTCATCATCGGATCTTTACGAAATTTAATTGGTACGATTTCGGAATAAACCTCTTTCGAACAAAAGAGAATTTTGCAAATCCGTCTATATATATGACGGAGTTGCCTGAACATATGTATATATATATATATATATATATATATATATATATATATATATATATATATATATATATATACAGGATGTGTCTGTAAACACCGTTGTCCTTGAAACCAGTGGTTTGGTTTCACTTATAGAACGTGAATTCAATGAATTTTTAAAAAAACCGCTATTTTCTTTCATAAAATTTAAAAAGCTTCTGTCCGACACCGTCCGTAAATTCATGGATACCCTATGCGCCCGAATGACGTAATCACTGTAAAGATCACCGCCCGCGCTAGCTACCTACACAACATTCAACATAAAACACAATAGCTACACATAACCTGTGACGTAACTTTCCTTCATACTTTCATCCTGGCTTAGGACAGGCAAAAATTGAGGAATTAAAGAATAATTGAGATTTTACTAAAAAAAATGTTGTTATTTTTCATTGAATTTACGTTCTATAAGTGAAACCAAACCACTGGTTTCAAGGACAACGGTGTTTACACTAACACCCCCCCCCCCCCCACGAATTAAGAGTCTTCTCCTTTTATGAAGACGGTTAAATAGACATCAAATTTTCGAGTGTTATGGAATAATTAAGTCCGCTGCGCTGTTCCAGTGTATGTTGCTGAACTTCACACGTCCATTTTCTGCATGATTTTTGGTTGCTATTGACTATAATTGCATTGTTTGACAGCTCATAACGTATGATACATATTGACTGTCCCCATTAGAGTCTGGACATATCCAAGTGACTAACTGCCGGTCCAAATCTATTTAAGTAATGCTCTGCGTAGTGATTGGCCATGGCCCAGTGTCTCATCTCCCAGTAACAGAAAAAGATGTGTCGATGTTTATTTTTCAGCCCAGGCGTTGTAGTAAATTTATTGCATATGCCACCTGTTCCAGAAGTTGCTTATGGGATTGACTAGCCAGTAAAAAAAATGACGAAGTAGGTCGTAGCTTTGTACGTGGTAGAGCCATGCTGCATATTAGTAATATAGTTGTAGCACGAATTGGTCGGCTCGACCGGAGAAGCACCACGCTCTCACAGAATACCAGCGGCAAATAGTAGCTTAATGCTGCTGTATTTCTTATGGTGAGTGTAGAGAACCAGAGATCCTTTTTACTGGAAACGAGGCATTTCGTCGAAGTCCTCACGGGTGACAACGCATCTGCATTTTGATTCGTAATCGAGGATATATGTAGATATCTATGGGCCATAGCAACCACTTACCATCAGGTGAACTGTGTGCTCGTTTGTCACCCTATCCTATAAAAAAGTTAATGTCGTGTATCCTTAAGTACTCTGAAATTTAGTTGGCAGCTACAGCGAAAGTCCCGTGCCATAGTTTGTCATTATAGCTTGACGTGAGGAAACTACTGTTATGATGGGGTAGAAGTCAATATCACCGAACCTGGTCACAAATGTGGGGTTACACTATGATTTTGAATATAGAAAATTGTGCGTGTGGTTGTGCATACACGTACGAAGTGAAACTTCTTTGCGACATATCATTCTTCTTTTATTTTATATTGTACATAATGTAAGTCGAATAATATTATCTAATACTAATGCAGCCTCGGCGCTGAAACGTTGCAAGAAAACGTGACTTTTTAAAGTGAAAACTTCTTTAGAATCGTTTTGATTTGAAACTCGATGAAACGAAAAAGCGACACTAAAAGGAGACAAACATCTACGTCTATAAGATTTAGCCTGCGAGAGAATGAGATAGAGTACAATATAAAGAATGAGACATAATACAGTATACATTATTTCCTATTATCTTGGTCTCCATTTTGGTTTTACTTTTACCGCGTGTTAACTGCACACATGTTTTTTTTTAAATACCGTTCTAAGTTTCTCCACTATGTTGATAAAGAAGTTTCACTTTTAAAACGGAAAATAATAATAAATAATCCACATGTATGTACAGGGTGTTTCTTCAACGTCACAATGCGAACGGATCGCGCTGTTACTCCACTATACGTACTTAACTAGCGCCTCGTGGATTATAACGCTCACAGCTACTGTGACAGAGTACTGCACTTGTGGCACATTGATGCCCCTCAAGTATAACTATTTGCTCGCTTACGGAGTGCCAGCCATTGTTGTGATGGTACGTCTAAAATGTTATATTTATTATACGATAATGTAGTACTCGTAATGCCTGTCCTGTTGTAGATAATTGTAGCACAAATGGGTCGTCTCGACCAGGGTGGAACCACACTCTTACAGAATACCAGCGTAAAATAGCAGCTTAATGCTGCTATGTTTCGTGAGGTGAGTGTTTTTTTTTATAGAAGAGGGGGCAAACGAGCATGCGGCTCACCTGATGTTAAGTGACTACCGCCGCCCATGATCAACCGCAACACCAGGGGAATTGCAGGTGCGTTACCGGCCTTTTAGAAAGTAGTAAGCTCTTTTCTTGAAGGTCCCCAGGTCGTATCGGTCCGGAAAAATCGCCGGTGGTAAACTATTCCACAGAGAGGTCGTACGCGGAAGAAAACTCCTAAAAGAGTAAAGACCCTTTTTACTGCAAACGAGGAATTCCATATCAGTCCTCAGGGCTGGCGACACATCTGCATTTTGATTCTTAATCAGGATAAATGTAGATGTCTATGGGCCACAGGGTCCCCTTACAATCAGGCGGACTGTGTGCTCGTTTGTCACCCTTATTCTATAAAAAAAAAGTATAGGCCATAATACCCTCCAGACCGGATTTCGGTCACGGCGGCCGGTCTCAAAGTAAGCTAGCCATTTGTTATTTTATTCCCTCACTTTCATAGTCCGATTGGACTGTAAATCGTCACGACCGGAGAGAGATCAGATGCAGGACCAACAATTTTACGTACTTTTCGATGCACGGGAGTGAAACACCGCCAACTTCCTGACTCCTGTTTGCTACTGAAAATTTCTTGACAGCAAAACCCAATTACTGATTTTGGCCCGACCTGGGATTCAAACCGGGATCTCATGATCAAAAACTACGTTTACGTCTACCAAACCAACGAGGCAGTCAATAATGCTCTCCAGTGCAAACTGGCGGCATTTAGATTAAACTTCCATGTAAGACTTTATAATCTGAATAAACAAAAATAAAATTGCGAATTCAGTGTTGCTGGTGGAATAGAACTCATGTTGCTCGTCAATCTAACTTATTAAGCATCCGCAGCTCAAAATTATACTTAGATTGACACGTAATATGACTTATAATTATATTAATAATACTAATCGTAATTTATTGTAGTCTCAACTTTTAGCTTTTAATAAAACCTATTGCAGTTTAACTACGCTTTATCAATGGAACATTACGAAACCAAACATTATTGCTGGATGTCCTTAGAAAAGGGGATGGTCATTGGTTTCATGGTACCTATCACGGTGTTGATCTTAATTAACACCATAATTATTATGATTGGTCTGCAAGGCGTTCAAAAGAAACATGGTGAACTGCTTCAAGCAAAATTACAAGAAGTGTTTGATCGTCAAGATTCTAATTACTCAAAGAACGGTCAAGTTGATGGCGCTAATATAAATGAAGGAATCGATGTAGATGATATGTTTACTGCGGGAAGTAGCAGAAAGAATACAGACAGTTCTGAAGCACTCGAAGACGATAATTGTCAGTATGTTAATGTTAGTATTCCAGACAAAGATGCCACAGAAGAAGGAAACGACGTGAGTATTGCCAGTTTGAAAGTATTGAATAGTATCTTATTTTCGTAATAAGGTTAAGTACGTGAGGGTAATATGATCATCTTAAGCTTTGCCACCCTATACAACCAAAACTAGAAGAAAATAGACAAAAACAAAAATTCGTATACGATAACTAATATGTTAAGAAAAATAATAGCAAACAAGCTTTGGCAATGATTAGGAACACTGCGAAAACGAATCCAAAAAAATACGTGTGGACTCGGTGTGCGGGTAAAGCTATTGCATTTTTTATCACGCAATTTATTTTTTTTTGCAGTTGTTGTTTGTCTTTGGGTTCGATAAGCAAACAATTTTTTTCTCTTATTGAATTGAGAAGTTAATATTGTTTAAAATATTTTTATATCTTCATACATGTGGTGAATGTTGAGGGGGTTTGGCACACTGGCTTGGGCGTCGGAGTGGGGAGGGAGGTTTTTTGAGGAATGGATCCGGGGATAGGTTGCAGTAAATAACGAAACTACACAATACTAAAATCTACAAAAATATTTACCTACTATAACGTCAACTGTAAAAATGGCGTCAATGATGCACCGCTCTTTTGACCCTTTAATATTTGGTTGACTGATGAAGAGCTATCGTATCATAGTGCCTTCTACGCAAATAAGGCTGTAATTTTTGAGTTATAAGAACGTGATCATATTAACCGGATGACCATATTACCCTCACGTATTATAGTATATTTTATATACTAATTAATACTCATATTTTTTGACGAAAATAATTACATTCTGCTGAATTTTAGTTACGATGGCAACATCCAGTTGGTATTGAAATTCTATTTCGACTTTCGATAAGATACTTTCCTTAACAGCCAATAACATGATGCATCAAAAATTAATCAACATTAAAAATAGTTATTTCCATGACTTTCTTCTGTACTTCGAAATTTATGGCCCCCTGATCTTAACTTCAGACATACCTAGGAAATATTTAAAAAAAATATAAAAATTTAATCTTTTTATCATCATCATATCATCATAAACACTCACGCCTGTCAACCAGAGGGTTAGGTAGAGACTACGGACTTCTATTTGGTACGATCCCGACACACCTCTTTCGTCTCCTCCACATCCATATACCTACGCATGCATACTCGTCGGTTTGACTTATTTTCAATATATCGCCAATTTGGTCGGTAAACTTTCGCCTAGGGCGTATTGCCGGGATGAGTCGCTCATAGCCGTAGTAGCCGTAGTAGGCTTCGACCACCTAATCCTAGGCCCACCCTTCACGTGTCCCCGCGGGGTAGCGGCGTAAAATATACCAACCATTTTCGTACCATAAGACAACAAATAAAATATTTTTTTATATTATAAATAATAAGATAATATATCCTTAATGGTTGGTGACGTGTAACTTGGAACGATTGACTTAGTAGGTACTGTGTGAATCGGTCATATTCACACAATTGTTTGTTATCAGGATCTCATGTTTCAGTTTTCCTCTGTCACCTCTTACACCAAAGGGACGCTATGGGGTAGGAGTTAATCTTACACGCAAGGGAAGCTATGGGCTAGGAGTTATTCTTACACCCAAGGGACGCTATGGGGTAGGAGTTATTCTTACACCCAAGGGACGCTATGGGGTAGGAGTTACTCTTACACCCAAGGGACGCTATGGGGTAGGAGTTATTCTTACACCCAAGGGACGCTATGGGTAGAAGTTATTCTTACATCCAAGGGACGCTGTAGGGTTTTTGGTAGAGCCATGCTGCAGTTATATTAGTAGTATAGTTGTAGCACGAATGGGTCGGCTCGACCGGGGAAGGACCACGCTCTCACAGAATACCAGCGTGAAATAGTAGCTTAATTCTGCTGTATTTCGTATGGTGAGTGTAGAGAACCGGAGACCCTTTTTACTGGAAACGAGGCATTCCATCTTAGTCCTCACGGGTGACAACGCATCTGCATTTTGATTCGTAATCGAGGATAGATGTAGATGTCTATGGGCCACAGCAACCACTTACCATCAGGTGGACTGTGTGCTCGTTTGTCACCCTATCCTATAAAAAAAAAGAAAAAAGTTATTCTTACACCCAAGGGACGCTATGGGGTAGGAGTTATTCTTACACCCAAGGGACGCTATGGGGTAGGAGTTATTCTTACACCCAAGGGACGCTATGGGGTAGGAGTTATTCTTACACCCAAGGGACGCTATGGGGTAGGAGTTATTGTAACACCCAAGGGACCCTATGGGGTAGGAGTTACTGTAACACCCAAGGGACGCTGTGGGGTAGGAGTTATTCTTACACCCAAGGGACGCTATGGGGTAGGAGTTATTCTAACACCCAAGGGACGCTATGGGGTAGGAGTTATTCTTACACCCAAGGGACGCTATGGGGTAGGAGTTATTCTAACACCCAAGGGACGCTATGGGGTAGGAGTTATTCTTACACCCAAGGGACGCTATGGGGTAGGAGTCATTCTTACACCCAAGGGACGCTATGGGGTAGGAGTTATTCTTACACCCAAGGGACGCTATGGGGTAGGAGTTATTCTTACACCCAAGGGGCGCTATGGGGTAGGAGTTATTCTTACACCCAAGGGACGTTATGGGGTAGGAGTTATTTTTACACCCAAGGGACGCTATGGGGTAGGAGTTATTCTTACACCCAAGGGACGCTATGGGGTAGGAGTTATTCTTACATCCAAGGGACGCTATGGTGTAGGAGTTAATCTTACACTCAAGGGACGCTATGGGGTAGGAGTTATTCTTACACCCAAGGGACGCTATGGGGTAGGATTTATTCTTACACCCAAGGGACGCTATGGGGTAGATGTTATTCTTACACCCAAGGGACGCTATGGGGTAGGAGTTATTCTTACACCCAAGGGACGCTATGGGGTAGGAGTTATTCTTACACCCAAGGGACGCTATGGGGTAGGAGTTATTCTTACACCCACGGGACGCTATGGGGTAGGAGTTATTCTTACACCCAAGGGACGCTATGGGGTAGGAGTTATTCTTACACCCAAGAGACGCTATGGGGTAGGAGTTATTCTTACACCCAAGAGACGCTATGGGGTAGGAGTTATTCTTACACCCAAGGGACGCTATGGGATAGGAGTTATTGTAACACCCAAGGGACGCTATGGGGTAGGAGTTATTCTTACACCCAAGGGACGCTATGGGGTAGGAGTTATTCTTACACCCAAGGGACGCTATGGGGTAGGAGTTATTCTTACACCCAAGAGACGCTATGGGGTAGGAGTTATTCTTACACCCAAGGGACGGTATGGGGTAGGAGTTATTCTTACACCCAAGGGACGCTATGGGGTAGGAGTTATTGTAACACCCAAGGGACGCTATGGGGTAGGAGTTATTCTTACACCCAAGGGACGCTATGGGGTAGGAGTTATTCTTACATCCAAGGGACGCTATGGTGTATGAGTTATTCTTACACCCAAGGGACGCTATGGGGTAGGAGTTATTCTTACACCCAAGGGACGCTATGGTGTATGAGTTATTCTTACACCCAAGGGACGCTATGGGGTAGGAGTTATTCTTACACCCAAGGGACGCTATGGGGTAGGAGTTATTCTTACACCCAAGGGACGCTATGGGGTAGGAGTTATTCTTACACCCAAGGGACGCTATGGGGTAGTAGGTATTGTAACACCCAAGGGACGCTATGGGGTAGGAGTTATTCTTACACCCAAGGGACGCTATGGGGTAGTAGGTATTGTAACACCCAAGGGACGCTATGGGGTAGGAGTTATTCTAACACCCAAGGGACGCTATGGGGTAGGAGTTATTCTTACACCCAAGGGACGCTATGGGGTAGGAGTTATTCTTACACCCAAGGGACGCTATGGGGTAGGAGTTATTCTTACACCCACGGGACGCTATGGGGTAGGAGTTATTCATACACCCAAGGGACGCTATGGGGTAGGAGTTTTTGTAACACCCAAGGGACGCTATGGGGTAGGAGTTATTCTTACACCCAAGGGATGCTATGGGGTAGGAGTTATTCTTACACCCAAGGGACGCTATGGCGTAGGAGTTATTCTTACACCCAAGGGGCGCTATGGGGTAGGAGTTATTCTTACACCCAAGGGACGTTATGGGGTAGGAGTTATTTTTACACCCAAGGGACGCTATGGGGTAGGAGTTATTCTTACACCCAAGGGACGCTATGGGGTAGGAGTTATTCTTACACCCAAGGGACGCTATGGGGTAGGAGTTATTCTTACACCCAAGGGACGCTATGGGGTAGGAGTTATTCTTACACCCAAGGGACGCTATGGGGTAGGAGTTATTCTTACACCCAAGGGACGCTATGGGGTAGTAGGTATTGTAACACCCAAGGGACGCTATGGGGTAGGAGTTATTCTAACACCCAAGGGACGCTATGGGGTAGGAGTTATTCTTACACCCAAGGGACGCTATGGGGTAGGAGTTATTCTTACACCCAAGGGACGCTATGGGGTAGGAGTTATTCTTACACCCACGGGACGCTATGGGGTAGGAGTTATTCATACACCCAAGGGACGCTATGGGGTAGGAGTTTTTGTAACACCCAAGGGACGCTATGGGGTAGGAGTTATTCTTACACCCAAGGGATGCTATGGGGTAGGAGTTATTCTTACACCCAAGGGACGCTATGGCGTAGGAGTTATTCTTACACCCAAGGGGCGCTATGGGGTAGGAGTTATTCTTACACCCAAGGGACGTTATGGGGTAGGAGTTATTTTTACACCCAAGGGACGCTATGGGGTAGGAGTTATTCTTACACCCAAGGGACGCTATGGGGTAGGAGTTATTCTTACACCCAAGGGACGCTATGGGGTAGGAGTTATTCTTACACCCAAGGGACGCTATGGGGTAGGAGTTATTCTTACACCCAAGGGACGCTATGGGGTAGGAGTTATTCTTACACCCAAGGGACGCTATGGGGTAGGAGTTATTCTTACACCCAAGGGACGCTATGGGGTAGGAGTTATTCTTACACCCAAGGGACGCTATGGGGTACGAGTTATTCTTACACTCAAAGGACGCTATGGGGTAGGAGTTATTCTTACACCCAAGGGACGCTATGGGGTAGGAGTTATTCTTACATCCAAGGGACGCTATGGGGTAGGAGTTATTCTTACACTCAAGGGACGCTATGGGGTAGGAGTTATTCTTACACCCAAGGGACGCTATGGGGTAGGATTTATTCTTACACCCAAGGGACGCTATGGGGTAGATGTTATTCTTACACCCAAGGGACGGTATGGGGTAGGAGTTATTCTTACACCCAAGGGACGCTATTGGGTAGGAGTTATTCTTACACCGCCACTACATAGTCGAGACATTGGTTCATAGCAACGTTAGAACCCATAGGTAACGCTGCAGTCGAGTTATCAGAAAACTATATTCAAGGGCAAAACTTACAATCGTAAAAAAATTATATTGGTTTGGTTTCGGGCCATAAAATAATAAGATCTGGACCAGATAGGTGGTGCTGTGGTTGGTTTATTAATAAAATTTATAACAACGCTGTAAAAAGTCTGAAGTGATTTTGGAGTTATACTCATGGCACTACCTACCGGAAAGAACGGAACAATGTTAGCAAAACCCTATTTGGTTGCATTTTTTCAGACAAACAATAAAGACAAAGACGGTGAACGCAAACTGGAAATGATGTATCCCGACCATATGTATTTGAAATTCAATTTGAATTCAGAAGGAAATCAACTAAAAACCTATCTTCACCTCGGCTTGGTTATGGAACCATTTTTCGGCATCAACTGGGTGATGGGGGTTGCTGCTTTAGAGAACGCCACACATTGGACTACACCAACTATTTATTTAATCCTTACGTTGACAATGGTAAGCTGATGATTTTTTTTTATATAGAATAAGGGTGACAACCAAACACAGTACACTCGATGGTAAGTGGATGCTGAGTTTCATAAACATCTACAACTAACTTCGAACAAGAATCATAATGCAGATGCGTTGTAATCCCTGAGAATTAAGATGGAATGCCTCACTACCTATGAAGATAGAAGTAAATTAATATAATAATTTTATAAACAAATATTCGGAAGAAGAAAAAACATAGTATTTAATAATATCTCATGTAACATATTAAAAGTCAGATAGATAAATAAAGAGGAGGAGGGACAGGTTCTCTACCCTCATCATACGAAACACAGCAGCTTTGTAATGCTATTTTACGTTGGTATTTTGTGAAAGCTTGGTCCTATCCCGGTCGAGCTGACCCATTCATACCACAGCCATAATACAGTTGTGACGTGGCACTACCACGTAAGATATTCGGCTTGTCGATTTCGAAGACTAAAGACTGGGGCAAGAAATCTAAAACTCTATCGAAAATATTATACGAGCAAGGTGTTCATGCGTCTCCTATTACAGTTTTTTAAAGTCCACAGCTGAACACTGGCCTTCCTTTATCTGGTTATTAGAGAGACGTTGCTGCCCATCTCCTGAGTTGTTTCTCTCTGTCACCTCTTACGATACCCACGGGATGGTATGGGTTAGTGGATATTTCGGAAGTTGAAATTGGATAAAATCGGTAAAATTAATTTTAATTCAACCTATTTCTTTTACAGTACATTTACTACACTGCAACCATTAGCATGACTTTGCCAATAATATGTAACAAAGAAAAGCCCGAGCCATGTTGTGACGAAGTCGTTTCTGAGCCTATCGTCGTTCCGGCTAGGTGAGAACTACTGACAATGTTTTTATAACATCAGTGCGAAAAATCCAGTTAATTGTAAGTGGCTACTGCAGTCTATGGACGTACACTACCAACTTTAATGATAATAAAGTGTATAAAATCATTTAAATTTAAATCATAATATCTAAGTTATGTGAGGGTAGTGTGGTCACTTTAAATTTTGGCGCTCTATAAAACCAAAACTAAGAGGAGGACAGAGACAAAAACACAAAGTCGTATACTATAACTAATATTTTAAGAAAAAAAAATAGTAAACAAGCTTTGGCAATAATTAGGAACACTTCGAATATTCAACTTAATAAAACGACCATAGATACTAGTCTACATAGTCTACTGTCAAAATGGTCTCGAGAAAGCAGCGCCCTTTTGACTCTTTATTATTTGATTGACTGGTGAAGAGCTATCGCTCTACTACAAGGATGTAGTTTTTAAAAAATATGACCTTACTTAGGTCACGGGGTCATTGGGCTAACTAAGTCAGACCTAAGGTCAGGCCAAGGTCAATAATTATTAATGATTCCCAAAAGAAGGCTCTGTCAACAAATACATGGAACCTATGCAGCATTAATAATAGCGCCATTGCATAAACTACGTCGGCTTCGCAGGTCTATGTAGTACTTCACAAACCGTGTACATGGCGCTGTTAAGGAATTATTTAATTAGTGAAAAACAACATAATAGCTTAAAATCAATAGATAGATACAAATTTAATAGGTGAATACTCCTTCATTTCAGAGATTTTCATATAAATTGTCAACTTTTTAAGGTAGAAATCTAAATAATTCTGTAACAGCGCCATCTACACTTTTTGTGAAGTACTACATAGACCTGCGAAGCCGATGTAGTTCTAATAAAGAACCGTTACGAAAGAAATTTGAAATGAATTCTCTTAATTTATTTCTCGTATTATCTTAACTCTAGTAATTAAAATTTTTTGAATTTCAATTGTATGATTCTTTTAAATAACATTTAAAAAATAATTGTTCTGAGTCGGGTGCAGAAAGGTGACATTTGGTTATGTCATGTATTGGTTTGGCACAGATTAACCGGATGATCATATTACCTGCGGACGTTACTATCAAAGAAAATATAATTACTACATTTAGCTACTATGTTTTACTAACTTATAAACTATGTTAGTTTACAATCTAAAATAGGTAGTTCAATCACATTAAGATTTGAAAATGAAAATACACCTATTAGATACTGCTTTCTCTATCCTACCATATGCGGCGACAGGTGCACATTTATTTGTTTATTTAACCTTTATTACCCACCTTACAATAAGAGATATAAAGGGCGGATTTAATGCCTTATGGCATTCTTTACCTGCCAACACTGGATGATATGAGAAACTGTGGCAGGTGTAAATAATCTCTCCATTATATACACGTGTTTATACTGTATATGCTGCAACGCTGTAGAATCGCACAGTCCAGCATATCGGGTATTGTATTCAAGATGGCGCTGGTGCTTCCCCGGATTCTTTGCTTTTTCATAGCATTTGGTGACAAACGAGCACACAGTCCACCTGATGGTAAGTGGTTGCTGTGGCCCATAGACATTTACTATTATCCTCGGTTAACAATCAAAACGCAGATGCGTTGTCACCCCTGAGGACTAAGATGCAATGCCTCGTTTCCAGTAAAAACCGGATCCGTCGAACGTCTCCGGATCTCTACACTCACCATACGAAACACACTCATCATCATCATCATCATTACAGCCCTTCACAAGTCCACTGCTGAACATAGGCCTCCCCCAAGTAATGCCACAAAGCACGGTCCTGAGCCACCTGCATCCATCGACTACCTGCATGTCTTACCAGGTCGTCACTCCATCTAGTCGGGGGGTCGCCCTACACTACGCCTACCGGTACGAGGCTGCCACTCGAGAACCTTTCTTTCCCATTCCTCCAGAATCGCTGGAGGACCTTAGCACTATGCTCAATGACCTCAATGGTGTCTCCCAACGGATAGGTCTTAAGATGAACATGGACAAAACAAAGATCATGTTTAATGTCCATATCACACCTATGCCGGTAGTTGTTGGGAGCACTATGCTCGAAGTTGTTGACGAGTACGTTTACCTGGGACAAATAGTCCGACTAGGTAAGTCCAACTTCGACCGAGAGGTCAATCGACGGATTCAACTCGGCTGGGCAGCGTTCGGGAAATTACGACACATCTTCTCGTCAGGTATACCTCAATCTCTGAAAACTAAAGTGTATATCCAGTGCGTGTTGCCAGTGATGACTTACGGATCTGAGACGTGGTCCTTCACCGCTGGCCGTATGAGGACGCTCAAGGTCGCTCAGCGAGCTATGGAAAGGGCTATGCTCGGAGTTTCGCTGCGTGATAGACTCAGAAATGAGGATATCCGCAGTAAAACCAGAGTGACCGACATAGCCCAATGGATTAGTAAACTGAAGTGGCAATGGGCCGGCCATATAGCTCGAAGAAACACACTAGTAGAGAATTAATCTGCTATTTTACACTGGTATTCTGTGAGAGCGCCGTCCTGCCCCGGTCGGGCTGATTCATTCGAGCTACAACTATAATATAGCTGCAGCGTGGTTCTACCACTTAAGAATTTCTTTTGCATATAGTAGGTAATCTATGAATTGCTTATAAGAGGTTGGCAAGAAAGGCCACAAATGCGTTGCTCCTAAAGATCAAGACGGAACACCACACAGTCTGTAATAAAACTGGCTTTCTCATCCTTAAAACTAGTAGCTGTAGGTCGCAGCACTAAGTCTTGGTTTACCCGTAAAGTTGACCCGCGGTAATCGGATAAACGTGTTGTAAGGCGGTGTCGGATTATCGAATTTACCAGACTATAGAGAACTGCCACAGTCCCCTGGTAGTACGGAACTTTTTGAAAATGAGTAACTTGTAATCCTACAGATTATATATCAAATATAAAATGATGAAAATAAAAATGTCACGTGATGCACAATTAATACCTAAACAGTAAATAATGAATACCCACTACCTACCATAGTTATTTGAATTGAGACAATACGTGTCAAGCTAGATTCGTGGTGGCGCGAAGTAATTGCAACCTGTTTGTCCACGTATTCGCGAAGGTCACCTCCCCCCTGGCGGATTCATAACGCGACTCGAATCTACCTATATGTTAAATACATGTCGGATTACAAAGGGGGGACGGATTAGCCAGAGGCCGGATTACAGGGGGTCAACTGTATACTGTTTCATATTTGTATTAATACCCCCCATATTTTCCATAGTTGCCACACTTGGCAGTCAGGCCGACAACCGGACGTTTTTATATTAGGAAAATACTACTGCCCATCTCTTGTTCCATGTACCTCTATCGCCTCTTACGACATCCATGGGATGATATGGTAGAGTGGATTCTTTTACGACGCCACTACACCACGATTCAATCTTCAATCTTTAATTTAAAACCGCATTCATTAGATTTATTGAGACCGAAGCGTTCCATCTTAGTCTTCACGGGTGACGACGCATCTGCATTTTAATTCGTAATCGAGGATAAATGTAGATTTTTATTTTTTTATAGAATAAGGGTGACCAACGAGCACACAGTCCACCTGATGTTAAGTAGATACTGTGACCCATAGACATCTACATTTATTTCCTGATTAAGAATCAAAACGCAGATTCGTTGTCACCCCTGAGGACTAAGATGGAATGCCTCGTTTCCAGTAAAAAGGGTCTCCGGATCTCTACACTCACCATACGAAACACAGCAGTATTAAGCTGCTATTTTACGCTGGTGTTCTGTGAGAGTGTGGTCCTTCCCCGGTCGAGCCGACCCATTCGTACTACAACCATAATATATGTGGCTCTACCACGTATATTATTTATGGGCCACAGTAACCACTTATCATCAGGTGGACTGTGTGCTCGTTTGTCAAAATTATCCTAAAAAAAAGACCGGCATAACCGTTTCAAAAACTTCGTGCGCTATATTTATGAAGGTAATGGTAATGAAGAGAAATTAAATGAAAGTAACATCTCGTATATAATTACGTTCTTGCTAAGCAAAGCACAGGCCTCTTCTCATAACTGTGACAGTTTCAAAGCAGGAAACCATCTGCCTTGCTGCCTTAATGCAAGTTTGCGGTATTAGCATGTACATATTCGAAATATTTTTAATTTCCAGACATTTAGGGTTCCTCACCATGTTTTCTTTCACCACCGAGCAGGTAGTAAAGCAGCATTTTAAATTGTAATTCAAAGCGCTTGGCTCATTAATTAAGTAGAACTTTAGAAAAGGTTTTTTTTAAATGTTTCAGGACTACGGACAGCATTCCCTTATTGGACCCGGCAGTACAGCAACCTAACGTTTCCCCTGCTCCCGCGGATACTATAAGCACAATCAGTATTTAAAAACGAAACATCGAACGAAACGAGGATAAATTCTGCCAGTTGCATGTACTGCTACAAAATTTTGTATCACTTACCAAATGATGTTTGATGGTAAACTCTGGGGAAAACGATGGTAATATAAGATAAATGTTAAAAATAATAATGCACAAGATTTCCTTGAGGGTCGCGTTCTAGTTATATAATGGATAAAATTGGTTTCTTCATACGATGCGGGAGTTGTTTGCCTACGCTGCGGATCGCGGGTTCGATTCGATTAGATTCGGGAAGAGTATTTGTAAAGTGTTGTTTGTTCGGCTGCAATTTGCAACAACTCGGTGAACATAAAATAGTGTAAAAAAAGAAAAAGACTTGAAAATATTTGACAAAAATATTGTTATGCAGAAAAAAAATCTAATTGGTCTTTTCGGGTAGATGTAGGATATTTTGGCCTAAGATTTTAATTCTATTTATTTATTGTGTTCCATAAAATTGCCTTTTTCTTCGACTGTTAGCAGAGATTTAGGAAAAATAAAGGCCTACTTCAGTAGCTTATATTTAAAAAAATATCTACTTGAATTGAGTTTTAATTTCAAATTTTCTCTTTTCAAAAGTTTAGCAGACTTTAAAACTATAGAAAAAATCTTAGACTACGGATTATGTACTTTATGGAAAAGAAATTCAAATAACGATTATTGATAATAACTTTTCTAGTCTTCAAATGTGATAAGAATTTTTTTAGCTACTGTTAAAAAACTTTGAAACTGCTAGTGTGTACTGTGTAGGTATGTTATTACGTGTTTAAAACATATCTTTTTGACGATATTCTTTTATAATATAATAAAGGTAAATTTACCAATATTTAAACTACAGTCTTTAATTATTAATAAATTTAAAATTTAAATTTATAAACTCATAATATAAGAGATGGTAGTTACTTCATTTCGATAGGTGCATCAATCATCACGAAAACTCAAGAATCTCATAGACTATTCTCGCTAGGCTCCAATCGCATCTATGCTCTGGGCTTCTCAAAATGTAATAAATTTTTAACTCCCGACGAAAATAGAGGGGTTGTTATGTGATTGTAGTGTGTATCTGTGTGTCTGCCTGTGGCATCATATCCCTGTACAGACGAAACGATTACGAGTAATTTTTATTCGTTTGAATGGTGTCTTAATCGAGAGTGTTCTTCTTAACTATGTTTGAAGAAAATCTGTTCAGTGGTTTGAAGACCATCGGTTTTTTTTTCGTTTCAGGGGTTTTAAAATTTTTAACTTAAATTATATATTCACACTTCTGCTTAAGCATAAAGATGGTAGTTAAGGATAGGACTCTGATCTTAATGTTAACATAAATTGTTGATGCAGCAAAATTATTGAGTTAAATTGCATAAATATTCTAGAAGATGTTATTGTGTAATGAGTATGAGTATTATTTTGTCCAGATATATGATTTTAAATAATAAACTAAGAAGATATCTACACAGTTGTAGGTAGTGTGTATGGACAGATTTCTTGTAGATACTAAATCGGGACTAGTTAGTGACATGGCAAAAATTGCATTTTATTAACGAGTGAACAGAAATAAAATTTCATACCATGGGAAGAAAATTTTAAAACTATCAAAATGGCTGCTTTTTAAAATCAGTATTAAATATATTTTATCATACCTTGATCGAAATTTCGTATTTCGACCCTACTTTTAGGGACGAAAGAGCCAGATTGCCTCCCGATTCAATGACTTATTAATTTAGTAGAATAAATTCCCTAAATATGGACTACCGTATTGATTTATTTAAATAAAACACAAAATATTGTAGCTAAATCAGTATTTTTAAATTGAATCATTACATGAACTATAACATAATGGTAAACTATGATTAAAATGTCTTTAAAATAAGTTTACAAACTTAATTTTTTTATAAAATGTTGCATATTTAACATTTCAAACTAGGTAGTTCAATATGGACCACTAAGTTTTTAATATGGACCTAGTGTGTCTAATATGGATCACACTATTTTTTGTAGAGAATAACATTCTTTTTATATAAAAATTCTAATCATATAGTTACAATCAGGAATGGTTATTACATAATATTCATTCAGTATTAATTCTCATTCCAAAATTTACATATAATCCACTACACCTACGCATTCTTCGTGTGTCCATAACCGACAAGAAGAACACACATTGTTCTCCACGAACGTCTTTAGAAAAGAGACCTTCACAATATAAATATTTCGCATTATCATTCGGGGATCGATCAGGACTTTCATCAGTTTCATCATTAACTGAATAATCACCATCCTCAGAACTAGAAGTTGAATTCAATAAATTTTCCTTTCTAGGAAAATCTCTTGGAAAGTCCCTAATAAGAATATTAGCTTTTTCTTTTGATTATTTTTTGCTTATGTTCTAATTTTATCTTTGATCTCTTCTTTGTGTCACCATTTTTCTTTGGCTCCTTTTCAAGTTGTTTTTTGTTCCAGATTCCTACTTTGTCGTTGTATTTTTCTTTAGTCTCTCTTCTGATTTTCTCTTTGGTCCAGATTTTTTTGCTGCGCTCTTCTTTGGATCTTCCTTGCTCGAACTCTTTTGTAAAATTTCTTTAATCATTCTGCTTCTTTTCGTTTTATTAATGTTTCCAAATCAAGTTTATATGGTGATAAAGTCAAAAAATGGATTAAGTGGTTTTTATTCTTCTGTTACTGAATTTGTCTTATATACAGGAAAGAACTGTTTTGGAGACAAATAAAACGTAGTCGTAAAAGGACCAGCCGATAAAAAATCTGATAGCTCTTTAGATGGATCGGAACTGGAGTGGAGAATAATAAATCGCTGAAATTCATACATATTACGCAAGTTACTGTTAAACCTCTTTTACCTTTTTCGCTCAATATTTCTGGCATTTGTACGCACCACCTTGATTCCGGTCTCATCGACATTGCATATTTTTTATTTGCAGTATACTTGAACTTATTCATAGCTTCTTCCAACAGCTTTAGAAAAGCGTTTACGTTTATCTTGTTAAAATCCTTCAGCTTCGCAATGGATGTACCAATTGGTTAACGAAATGAGGGATTTGGGTGGCGTTGTAAAAACAAACGCTATATCTAAAAACAAAAAGTTTAACAAGGTTTATAATATGGATTAGTAAGTCGCAATATGGACCACTAGTCCGTTTTTAAAACCATTCATGGGTTCATATTACAAAATGATGCAATATCAAAATCATAACTTCGTAAAAAAATTATATTATTTGATACAGCTACGGAATACTTTATGAATAATTAGTAACACTATAACGTTTCCAGAATGTGGACAGTCAAAATACAATTATTGCAATATTACATCAAACAGCGCTAAAATCTCAAAATGTCTGCTGCTGGCACGTTCGCACATGCAGCCTCTGCTATACAATTCACTGGCGAGTAAAGCTGTAGCAAACCGTATGTATTCTATACTGAGTAAGGGGTGCGCGATCTAGTACCGAGTAACGAAACGTTAAACACGAATGCATTTCGTTACTCGCATTTTTCGTAGTATGGGTACCTTCTCTGTTTCAGTTCACGCAAGTACCGTTTATGCGTGTGTATTGAAACATTTACTGGTCGTATCTTTTACGCATGCGCACGCTTATTCGGTGAATTTAAAAAAAAACTTACGTTACAAAGAGCGATGTTTATTTGTTAAGTAAAGTATAATTTGGAAATTCGTCGTCCAAGTCTATTATTGATGAAGTTAGTTAGAATGTTATTTAAATTTTATTGTCAATACATAATTTTTGACACCTATTTGTTGCTTTTTTATTATAATCGATGCATAAGTAATGGATTGCGATGTTATTGTGATATAACATAGGCTCACGTTTAAAATTTTCAAAATAGTAAATCCCTACAAGTTTAGTAAATTCAAAAATTTGTAATAAGCAGTGCACTTGTAGTTCTACACTACCTATTAAATCAAACTAAAATTAGAATAACTTAAACACAAGTCTGATTTAAAATACGGAAAAGTGAAAAAATGCACCTTACGCAGCTTGGTTTATGTAATTTATAAATATGTTTTCTACAAATTACGAATGTTGCGACCACAGAAATCTAAGTAATAGTGCCTTATTATTTAGATTTCAGTGGTTGCGACGCCGCGACGTCATAAAGTACGCGTACGCAATACGACTGGATGCGATACTGTAACATAACATAACATGTGTGACAGAGTGTGGTGGTTGATTTTCAAATAAAACTTTGATATTCTTGTACTCTAATATATCATTGACTGAGTTTCAAAAGTAGGTATATGTCATGAATCATAGTACATTTTAAGGTATATTCATTTCGATCAAGATATGATAAAAAATTGTATACGCTTGACGGGTAGAAAGTATGACATTGCAACCCGCGTTCTTATCAATATCACGCGGGTTACAGTGTCATACGTTCCTCCCTTGGTGCGTAATTATACTATTTATCTTTTTTGATGGTAAATATTAAAAATGAATCTATAACGTAAAATAAGGTTACGACTGTTTAACTAGTGAAAAATTTCATTAAAATGTTAATAAATATGTAAGGTGTTTTATTTTCCATAAGTTTAAAAATGAATATATTATGTTGCAGCCAACTAGCTAAGAGGATTGTGAAGCTGTAAATTTTCATACAAAAAGCGATAACATTTTCCCACCAGTAAACATAGTCTAATTTTCATAATTTTTGGAAATGTTGTAGATATAACAAAAAACTAGGTAAGTTTACCGTACCGTACCGTACGTTTTAATTTTAAAGAAATATTACGTACGATGTAAGTTATTAGCATCTAAATATCTATATTTTTGACTTAAAAACTTCCTCGAGCGTTTTTATTTTTCTTAATTAAACTAAATTGCTTTACTATAAAAGCAAAACTTACAGACCTAGACTAAGATGTACTGAATCTAATGGTACAAAAATTATATCATTTCGTAAAGGTTTAGGGGGGTAAAAATGTTATCGCCCGAAACAATATTTCAATAAAGAAATGTA